AATGCACAAGCACCAGAAGAGAGACTAGATAACTGGGAGCTCCTAAAAATCAAACACTCATGCTCATCAAACGACTTCACCAGAAGAGTCAAAAGACAACCTACAGACTGGGGAAAAATTTTTGGCTACAACAAATCCGATAAGCGTCTAATCTCTAAAATCTACAAGATACTGCAAAATCTCAGCAACGAAAAGACAAATAACCTAATTTAAAAATGGGCAAAGGATATGAACAGACACTTTGCCAAAGAAGATATTCAGGTGGCAAGCAGACACATGAAGAAATGCTCACGATCATTAGCCATTAGAGAAATGCAGATCAAAACTACAATGAGATATCATCTCACCCCAACAAGGCTAGCATTAATCCAAAAAACACAAAATAATAAATGCTGGAGAGGTTGTGGAGAGACTGGAACACTTACACACTGTTGGTGGGAATGTAAAATGGTACAACCACTTTGGAAATCGATTTGGCACTTCTTAAAAAGCTAGAAATAGAAGTACTATACGATCTTCTATCCCGCTCCTTGGAATATATCCTACAGAAATAAGAGCTGTCAGACGAACAGATATATGCACACCCATGTTCACTGCAGCACTGTTCATGATAGCAAAAAGATGGAAACAACCTAGGTGCCCATCAATGGATGAATGGATAAACAAATTATGGTATATTCACACAACGGAATACTACGCAATGATAAAGAGAACGAAGAAGTCGTGAAACATAACATAGAGGAACCTGGAGGTCATTATGCTGAGTGAAATAAGTCAATCACCAAACATCTAAGATGCATCAATTGGTCCCCACCACCTGGAGTAAAGGATCATGAAGAACACCAAAGACACAAGGAAAGTGTTAGCCCAAGAGACAGAAAGGGCCACATAAACCAGAGACTCCATCAGCCTGAGACCAGAAGAACTAGATGGTGCCCAGCTACCACCAATGATTGCCCTGACAGGGAACACAACAGAGAGTCCTTGATAGAGCAGAAGAAAGGTAGGGTGCAGAACTTCAATTCTGGTAAAAAGACCAAACTTAATGGTCTGACAGAGACTGGAGGAACCCCGGAAAGCATGGCCCCCACACTGTCTGTCGGCCCAGAACTAAAACAATTTCCTAGGCCAACTCTTCACACTGGGACTGGACTGGACTGTGGGACATAAAACGATAGTCGTGAAGAGTGCGTTTCTTAGCTCAAGTGGATAAATACATGGGACTAAACAGGTAGCTTTTGTCTGAAGGTGAGATGAGAAGGCAGAGACGGTTAGCAGCTGGTTGAATGGACGTGGGAAATCAAGGGTGGAAAGAAGGAGTGTGCTGTCACAGTATAGCGAGAGCAACTAGGGTCACATAACAATGTAGGTATAAATTTTCGTATAAGAGACTAACTTGAAATGTAAACTTGCAGTTAAACTACAACAATAAAGAAAATAAATAAATAAATAAAGTTGGGAAGAGAGAGTGCAAAAAAAAAAAAAAACTTAAATGAGAGGCCTAAAACTATTTTTAAAAATTAAATATTTAGTTAAAAAAATTTCCACAAAGAAAAATCCAGATAGCTTTACCAGAGAGCCGTACCAAACAATCAAATTCTTCTAGAGAGTAGGAGAAGAAGGAACGCTCTTTAATTTATTTTCTGAGACTAGAATAAATCAAACACTTATACCTGGCAAGGACAGTACGGGAAGGGAAAACTGGAAGACCATCTCACTCCTGAACATAGAATCAAAAATCCTAAACAAAATATTAGCAAACAAAATCCAAGAATATATAAATAGTGTATACATAATGTCCAAGTCAGGTTTGTCCCAGGAACAGAAGGTTGTTTTTAATATTAGACTATTACTATAGTTTATCACATTAAACTTAAAGGGAAAAAGTAGCATGACAATATTAATGAATTTTTAAAAATATTTGATAATTTTAATTCTTAACAAATTAGAAATAGAAGCTTCCTTTAAACCAAAAAACCAAACCCATTGCTGCCAAATTGATTCTGACTCATAGTGACCTTGTAGGACAGAGTAGAACTGTAGCCATAGGGTTTCCAAGCCTGTGATCTTTGTGGAAGCAGACTGCTGCATCTTTCTCCTGCAGAGCGGCTTGTGGATTTGAACAGCCAACCTTTCGGTTAGCAGCTGAGCACTAAACCCCTACACCATCAACGCTATAACAAAGATAGGTTGAAATGTTGAAAGCTTTCCCTTTACGATAAGGATCAAGCCTAGAATGAGCAATATCACCTCTTCTGTTCAACATTGTGTTAACGATTCTAGGCAGAAAGTAAGGTAAGAAATGAAGTAAAGGACGTACAATTTGGAAAGGAGGAAGCAAACTGTCATTATTTGCAGATGACATGACTATTTAGAGAGAAAATTCAAAAGAACTTATAGATAACTTCTTAAAATTATAAGTGTAGCAAAAAACTATATATAATAATTATATTCAAAATTAATATATAAAAATCAATCATTTCTCTCTATCAGTGACAACAAAATGATATAAATATCCTATTTAAAATAATACTGAAAATATATACTATCTATATAGAAATACCACCACCTGTCTTGTCAGTTTGTTGTACTATGGTGGCTTGCATGTTACTATAATTCCAGAAGCTATGCCACCAGTATTTCAAATACCAGCAGGGTCACCAATCATGGATAGATTTCAGCAGAGCTTCCAGACTAAGACAGACTAGGAAGAAAGGCCTGAAAATCTACTTCCAAAAATTAGCCATTGAAAATCTTATGGGTCACAACAGAACGTTGTCTGACTTGCTTACTTTGGATCAACAATTGCAAAGATGGTATAGGACCAGATAACGTTTCATTCTGTTATACATGCATTAGCATGAGTTGGAGTGGACTCAATGGGAACTAGCAACAACAACATAAATAAATAAATGATGTGCAAGACCTCTGCAAAGAATTATAAAACTTCACTGAGAGACTTTAAAAAAGACCAAAATAAATGGAAAGAAATACCATGTTCATGGATTAGAAGACTCCATATTTTTAGAAGCTCAATGATTCTTCATTTATTTATAGATTCAAAACAACCCAATCAGAATTCTAAAGGGTTTAATTTAGTTTAATTTTGTCTTGTTTTTTGGTGCAACTTGCTAACCTGACTCTACAATTTATATCAAGGTGCAAAAGACTAAGAATCACCTTTGAAGAAGAAGAATAAAGTGGAAGAAACGGATCGACCAGTTATCAAATTTACTATAAAGCTATAATAATTAAATTAGTGTGGTATTGGCCCAGTGGTATACAAACAGACCAATGGAGCAGAATAGAAAGTACAAAACAGACCCATGCATATAACGACGCTTGTTAGATGACATAGATTACCTAGTAGAACAGTGGGAAAAGGACTAACTTTTCAACAGGGCATCTAGGACAACCAGATATTCGCAGAGGGAAAATTACTTTTGACCCTCACCTCACACCATACACAAAATTTGTAGATGAATTAACTACTTAAATGTAAGTGACAAAACTTCTGACTTTTAGAATGTAATCTAGTGCAATACCTTCATGGTTTTGGAATAGAGAAAGCATTTCTTTAAAAAGGCACAAAAATCACTAATGAGAAAGCAAACAGTTGATAATCCAACTTCAGTAAATCTGATAATTTTGATGAAATTAAAATTGATGTACTCCCCATAAAGAAAGCAAAAAAATATGAGCCACTGAGGTGGGAAAAGATATATGTAAGTCAAACAAACACGAAGGACTTATCTTCATATTATATAAAGAACTTAACAAATCAATAAGAAAACCCATTAGAAAAATGGGCAAAAACCTTGAACATGCATGCTATAAAAGAGGATATAAAAATGGACTATATGCATAGGGAAAGATGTTCAAATTCATTTGACACTCAGATGGTCAAATCTGAAAATGTGTGAATATACCATATGTTGGCAAGGATGTAGATCAATAGAAGTTCTCATACTATTCAGAAAACAGTATAGAATTATCTAGTAAAGTGACACAGACCACACGACCCTGCAATTCTACTTTTAGGTAATAACCTTGAGAAACTAGTACACGTGTGTGCCAGGAAACACGTACAAAAATGTTCATAGCTACACTGTTTGCAGTAGCTAAAAATGTAAAAATGGCCAAATAACAATAATTGAATGGAAAAGTAAATTGTGATATGGTCATAGAATGGAATACCATACAGTAATGAAAAAGAATGAGTTATAATTACTGCATACACCAACAGAGAAAAATCCTAAAAGCAATTTTTATGCACTCTCAGTATGCGGGTTATATTTCATACGTTTTAAATGTTAAATTAAAGAATTGTGGTATTGAGGTGGGGGAAGCACCATTCCTTGGTCCTCACAGCATGGGGCTCTGTGAGTGCTGGAAGCTCTCAACTTTAACTATGCAACAGCTGATTATGCTCTAAAGAGAGGAGCCATCGCTATGGCAAAAGTGAGACCCCTTAGATGCTTTGAGGAGGTCTGATCGTGGCTGCCCACGTGTGGAAGAGAAACTTGAAGGTGAACACTCATGGAGCACCCTTTGTGGTGCTCAGAGCCACTACAACAGGGGATGCTTCACAGGTGGGGACTGAGGTCTGGCCATCAGGCTTGTGTTCCTTTATCCTCTGTGATTTCAACACTGAAAGTTAAAAATCCAGAGTCATTTGAAGTTAGTGGCATATTGGTTACAGATACTTCATAAGTTTTGAAAGAATCACTAATTTATACAGTAAGTACACATTTCATATTAAATATTCTGAGGTTATTATGTTTATGTATATGAATCAGAAAATATAACTGCTGCCTGTTTAGCCACTCTATTTCTATTTACTTTGATATATTTTCTCACAAAGGCTCAACCATTGCAGACAATGGAAATAGGAGAAATAAAATGGATCATTTACAAGGTATTGCGTGTGTACATGTATGTACATGCAGGGAAACGATCACATAAGTGACACTCTGCACGAGAGAAAGTCACATCCTTACCTTGTATGCCTGATCACTGACGGCCTTAATGTTGGCTTCTCTCCATTTTCCTGGTATCCCGTCAATTACTTCGCGATAGTTCACGTAATAGCCAGAAATTTCTGCCCCTCCAGTCTTATCTGGTTGCTTCCATCCAAGAACCATCGAGTCATGAAAACTTTCAAGACAAGTGATATCACAGGGTGGAGATGGTGTCGCTGTTGCAATATGAATAGCTTGTGAGTAGGCAGAAATGCATTTACGATTCCATGTATATTAAACTACTTGAATTGGTGCCATTCATGAAGGCAATAGATCTTGTAATACAAAGAAACTAAAATGAGAACCTAATTTGTAACTTGGCATCTGATTTGGTATATGAGAAAAAAACTGACACAATAAAAATACACACTGCAAATACTATTCAAAAAATAAAAATAATATGGCCCTGGAGATGAATTAGTTTTGAAAGATTAAGAGCAAAATGAGGAAATATCCTGAAAAATTGATTCTGTTCCCCATAAGAAGAAATATTTTTCCCCAAGGTATCCTTTTATTCATATGTTTCCTTATACGGCTTTGTTTTTATTTGCTTACTGAAGAGAACGGGATATGTCTATCAATTTTTGCATAAATTCGCTTATTTAGAATTTCCATACATTTCTGAGTTAGCACTTCACCATTCAGGTACACTCACCTTTGTGAGACCTTACAACTACACAGTTGCTGTCTGTACACAGGTAAAATATTACTCTGCAGCTCAATTAAATGTCACCTTTTAAGAAATACTTTTAAAAACAAGCACAATCTGCCATGTAACTTTCTCTTGCTGTATGATATTTTTATAACAATATTTTTAACCTGTTGTTGGAACATTATTCATATACCACAAAATACTAAACAGCTGTCACTTTGTTTATTACCACCTAGCCAGAAAAAATATTTAGAAGATATTTCTTAAAATTTTCCTTCATTTATGGTGGCTTTTCTGATCAACTTTTCACTCAACAACTGAAATTATAGTTTTAGACGAGGGGGAACTATGGAGAGAAATCTGTCCAGACAGACAGTGACATCAAAAATAATTTTCTGAATATTCATTTGGATTATATGAGTATAGGAACTATCTCATTCTTTTTCAAAAAGGTTTTTAGAACAATGAAGCCTTTTACTTTCCTCTCTATTTGAATATAAAGTCTCAAATGAGTATCTCATGTCATCTTGAGTTGAAGGGCCCAATAAATGTGTCAAAAAAAAAAATAGAAGAGTTTACAGAAGTTGGGGTAGGGTAGAAACAGGATGATATAATTTATCAGCATATGAATGTCATCATTTCATTTTTATTTGACAAGAAAAGCATTGTCTCCTAGAATATATAAGCTACAAGTACCAAATATCCTAATTAGACAAAGCTTAGCTTACTGATAAATAGTCTTAAATAAATCAACCGATTTATTTATTGGAATGTGAATTGTGTATCATAAAATATAGCTATATATGCTTACAATACTTGATTAAACTTTTCATGGCAACTCAGGGGTAAAATTACTTATATTGATTTGAATTAAATGTGAAGGATAATTTTAAACCTAAGGATACACCACAAAAGTTAACTGTTATCCTGGTAAAATATCACTTCTTTGTGAAATATTTTTCTTATACGTGGACTGAACATGAATATTTCAAAACACCTTACCTAGGCTATGATTATCAAGTTCTTCCTGCTCTAATCTCTAATTCTCTAAGCAAAATGAGTTCAAAGATGTCTGCCTGGCCAAATCAAAAGGACCCTGTAACCAAATTATTTTAAAGGTTCCATTGCCATCAAGCATAATGAATAATGTGTAAAAGCAAAAGCTATATAAAATTACTTTTATAACACATTAGACAATTATTTCAAGTGGAGAGCTCAAAACACATGGGATCAGGATTAAAGGGCGCTGAACATGAGCACAGATGAAGAATGTGATGTGAACAATGAGCGGTGAATACACTGATGGAGACAGATGGAATGGTTTTACTCTGCCAGCGCTCACCTAGATCCTTCTTCTTTTTCAGAGGGTCAGACTTACTTTTCCCCTTGGGAGCTGCTTCCTCTGGTGGAGGGGTAAGCACTTCCTGAACTGTTTCACTTACTTTACTCACTTCTGTTTTGCCCAGTTTGTGAGAGCTACTGGGCAGCGCAGTTTTGTTAGGTTTGCTACCAAGCCAAGCATCTTTCCTAGAGGTTGGCCGGGAGGCTTCATGCATGCCTCCCGGGAAGTCTGTTAGTCCACCAGCTGTGTCACTCAATTCAGGCCGCACATCTTGAGACACTCCTCCCCCTACAACTGCCAGACAGTAACAAAAACACTTTGAGCCCGAATGCAGTACGAAGTGCTCTTACTTAATAGAACAAAGAGAAAAACGTTAGGAGCACAAATGGAACAAAAACAATCTTGGTTTAACAGAAACCATTTGGATTTGCAAGAAATACGGAAATCATACGTTTCACATAATTTACAGCAACAAACATTTCAACTTCTCCAGATTCAAGAAAAAGAAGAAATGAGAACAAAAAACCACACACAGATCAGGAACTGCTTTGATCTGTAGAAATTAGAGTTTTTTAGTACATACAAGGAAAAGCAAATCTCAGATATTTCTTGAGAGATATAGTCCTATTATTCAACAGAATGGGGGAAAAAAAGGACCAAAAGACATAATATTAATGACCTTGATTTTATAACAGAGTTACATACATTACAGCAACAGTAATGGTCTGTACCTCCCAACCTCAAAGAAACATGTTCACTATTGCCCACTTGATACCAAAACCAAACCAAGCCATGAGACAATTCCAACTCGCGGCAACCCCATGTGTTACAGAGTAGAACTGCTCCATAGGGTTTTCTTGCTGAAATTTTATGGAAACAGGTTGCCAGGCCTTTCTTCCGCAGAGCTACTGGGTGGGTTCAAACCACCAACCTTTAGGTTAGTAGTCAAGCGTAAACCGTTTGCGCCACCACGGCTGCCTGCCCATTTTGTAAGGAATGCTAAAGAAGAAATACCAAACGCTAACTGAAGACAACTGATAGTAAATATTTTTTCTCTTTTATATCTGTTACTATATCACAGATGTCATTTTTATTGTTTTGACTGCCTGGGTCCCTTTGCTTACTTTCTCCAAGATTGGGAGGTACATCACACGCATGCACGTAAGTCCTTTGTTACTGGTTTGTTCTGATGACGACTTTGCAGGCGGAGATGAGACATATGATTAATCAATCACATGTGCCTTGTATGAATTTTAGAGTTTACAAAAAGCATGTTAATGTGCCATTAGTGAAAACAAGCCAGCTCCGTCACAGATGAAATGACCTCTTAGGGACAAGATGCTGTGTGTTATGGGTGATCTACCACTTTATGGAATCGGATGGAGTTTCACACAAGGGTTCATGGGAAATTGAGAAGCTTAGATTTGTGAAGATGAAAATGCTACAGACGCACAGAACTGGCTGAGTGATGACGATCTGAAAATGACAGGAGAAGGTTAGATGTCACCTAGGCTCAGAGAAAACGACTGGCTGAGGATGGACTTGTCGAGCAACATCAGCAGCTTTAAACAATTTCTGGAAAGGATGGTATCTTCCTGTATAACTTAGAAAAATTCATTTTTTTCCTACAAAATTACGGGTAAGAAACTTACCAATAGCAGCTTTAACTTCAATAGCTTCTGAGTCCTGTGAATAGTCACTAAGTCCAGCTGCATTAACTGCTCTGACTCGGAAAATGTAACTCTGACCAGTCACCAATCCATGACAAGTAAATCTAAAAGGAGAGAAACTTTTAATAACTGTCCTAGGAGGAAAATTAGGGAAAAGGATTGTTAGTCTAACTGAATGAGCTGGTTTTAAGCAAACTATCATTTTTTTAAAAGGAGGGAAATGTTGTAGAGAATCCCAGGTAATGTAAGTGCTTTAGACAAGGAGGGAACTAAGGCAATCTTCTAAACTCACTCTGTTGAAAAATGAGGAGTCCTAGTTTAGTCCCTTAATTTTCTTAGCCTCTGTTTGCTCATCAGTAAAATGGGGATTGTAATGCCTGCCTTGTAAATATTAGCCATAATTTTAATAAATAAGGTATTCAATAAATAAGAACTAGTATTAATAATACTATTAATGACTATTTCAGGCATATATTATGGCTGTAAGGCATCTGTCTGCTCCACATTAGAGACCTCGTCACTGTCCACCTGCTTGCCAAGGAAAGCACAACCACCTGAAAAATGACACTAGGGTCTGGGTGAAAAATGAATTCCAGAATTATCACTTAGATTTGAGGATCCAATAATGAACTGTGAGTCCATGAGCAATTTTACATATAAAACAACCTCACTCTTCAATAGCTACGTTTGCTGTAAACAGCTATTACATGGATCACTGTGTCATTTTATTCTACCCTAAAAACCCTAACCAGAGGAAATAACATGTCTGCTAATGACGTCTATTACTATTAGCACGTTCTCATATTTAATAAAGGCAGCGTGATCAAGGCCAGTCCTTCAGTCCTTCAGGTCAGCACAGTTCAGTGACTATTTATTGAGCATCTCAGTGTTCCAGACACTGTCCTAGGGATTGTGAATACAGAGATGGATAAAAGATGGGCCTGCCCTGGAGCAAATCTCCATCTGCTGTCTGTTCACGGACAGGCAGACTCTGCCTACCCTCCATGTATGTGTCTACGTAGGCCAGGAACATGCTGGAGAACTCACTGCAAAAAAAGGCTCAGTGAATCCCTTGCATAACACATTGCTTCCTCTCATTAATCAGTTGTCTCTATTCTCTCATGTTCTGCAAAAGAACTAACTCATCCTATTTGGGTCCTTGGACTTAGAAGTGGCCCAAACCAAGAGTTGCCTAACAAGCTGTCATGGATTGAATTGTGTCCCCCAAAAATACATGTATCAGTTTGGCTAGGTCATGATTCCTGGTATTGTATGATTGTCTACCATTTTGTCATCTGACGTGATTTCCCTAGGTGTTGTAAATCCTATCACTAAGATGTTAATGAGATGGATTAGCGGCAGCTATATTGATGAGATCTACAAGATGAGATAGTGTCTTAAGTCAATCTCCTTTGAGATGTAAAAGAGAAGCGAGCAGAGAGACAGGGGGACCTCACACCACCAAGAAAGAAGCACTGGGAGTATAGCACATCCTTTGGATCTGGGGTCCCTGTGCTGAGAAGCTCCTCAACCATGGGAAGATTGATGACAAGGACCTTCCTCCAGAGTTGACAAAGAGAGAAAGCCTTCCCCTGGAGCTGATGCCCTGAATTTGGACTTATAGCCTACTAGACTGTAAGAAAATTAATTTCTGTTTGTTAAAGCCATCCATTTGTGGTATTTCTGTTATGGTAGCACTAGATGACTAAGACATAAACCCATTAGACAATTTGAGGGAGGAATTTCCTTCTCAGACTGGCCCTAAATCAAAGGAGGCACGGAGTTTGGGTGCAGGCTAGAATTCACCACGAGCTTGCAAAGCTAGTTGCTAAAATATTTGAAAGCAAAACAAAACAAAAATCACTTAACAATGATTTGATCATGTTAATGTTCAGAATCTGTACAATTCTATACTTTTTTTTCCCACTTATGTGCCTTTAAAGTCATCAAAATGCTATTAAAAGTCCATTTAAAATGCCTGTGTAATTTATGTTAGGTAGAGCCTCTTATGTCCTTGGAATCTAGTATCACATCACTTTGTTTTTTTGCCCCTCAATACTTTATTATTATTTTTTATTGTGTTTCAGGTGAAAGTTTACAGAGAAAATTAGTTTCTCATTAAACAATTAATACACATATCGCTTTGTGACATTGATTGCCAACCCTGTGACGTGCCAACACTCTTTCCTTCTCTACCTGGGGCTCCCCGTTTCCATTCGTCCAGCTTTCCTGTCCCCTCCTGCCTTCTTGTCCTTGCCCCTGGGCTCGTGTGCCCATTTAGCCTCGTAAACATGGTTGAACTATGTGTGTTATTGTTTGTTTTATAGGCCTATTTAATCTTTGGCTGAAGGGTGAACCTCAGGCATGACTTCAGTACTGAGTTAAAAGAGTGTCTGGGGACCATACGCTCGGGGTTTCCCCAGTCTCTGTCAGACCAATAAGTGGTCTTTTTCATTTTTGTAGTACCACATCAGTTTGGATATTAAAGATCAGAATGTCAGTTCCCACTGAGTTGATTCTGACTCATGGTGACCCATGTGTGTCAGAGTAGAACTGTGCTCCATGGGGTTTTCAGTAGTAGATTTTTCAGAAGTAGATTGCCAGGTCTTTCTTCCAAGGCACCTATGGGTGGACTCAAACCTCCAACCTTTTGATTAGTAGTGAGCGTGTTGAGTTAACTGTTTGCACAACACAGGGTCTCCAAAGATCAGCCCAGAGTGGTAAAAAGAGAAGAAATAGTATAAAGGAAAAAAATCAGAAAAGAGATTTAAAGTGAACTCTTACTATACAGCTGACATTGAAGTTTCTAAGTATTTAACATCACAAGTTAACTTTTTTCAAATGCATTACATGCAGACATGTTCAGTTTGGAGAGACCATCCTCCATCAGATACCTGTATGGGACCATCTTCTCTTTGCACTGCCGTGGCCCTGTATACCTCTGCATCCCCCGCTCCATGCTCCCTTTCCCCCACCCCCACGCCGTCCTCCCCACTGGTACCGTGGGCCTTTCACGGGGTTGTTGTTGCAGGGCTCCCACGTGCCGGAGCCAACAACACTGGACTCTATGTAGTACCCCACCAGCTCTTTCGCATCTTTGGATTCCTCCCAAGTAACCACGATTGAGGTTTCTGTGTTTCTGCTTGGTATGATTTTTCCGGGGGGCTTGGGGATATCTAAGAGGAAAATAGTGGTCAAAGCCAGTGGGTTTTTAAAAATTCATCCTTATTACATATGCACACGCACACACACACAAACTTTACAGAAATAATCATGTCAAACTCTGCTTTGTTTTATAATATACTTGATGAAGCAGAAAATATACAAAAGAAGTATTAGTTTATAATGATAAACCAAATACCCATTAACTCACTAACCAACTCTAGAATAAAAAATCATTAGCAATATTTTTGTAACTCTTGGAGAAGTTTACTTTTCGTAAATAAAAATAATAAATTTTTTTTGTTTAATGTATGTCAAGTAAAGCCATCAAATTAAATTTGTAATATGAAGGAAGGGTTGTCACCATTTTACTTCTGTATATGCACATACACGTATGTATGTATGTGTATGTACGTATACACACACACATTAGATGCTGGCTTTGGAATGTCTCTTAAACTGAAGTAAAGTAAGTTGACAGTTGCTTACCGTACCCTACACTTACCAAGCTTGTCCCCTACCACTGTCACCTCCGTCGCCTCCGAGGGCTCCCCAACTCCAGCTGAATTAGCACAGCGGACACGGAAAGAGTAGGACTTTCCTTCAGCTAAGTCGAACAGAGCAAAGCGGGGGGACTTCACGGGGAGCTCTGTGTTCACCCGCTGCCAGTTTTGTGTCTCAGCCTCACACTGCACAGAACAGGGAAACGCAGTGAAAGCACAGCAAAGGTGGGTGGGACTCTAGGCCAGGTTGCTCTGGGTTTTACTTCTGTCAACAAATTGCTACCTCTTAGGGGAGTTAGACTGGAGGAGAGACCTGGAGAAAATGGGGGGCAGACGAAGCACCTGATATCATACCCATTGCCGCTGAATCCACTCCGACTCACAGCGAGCCTGTAGGACAAAGCAGAACTGCCCCATAGGGTTTCCAAGGCCATAAATCTTTACAGAAGCAGACTGCCACATCTTTCTCCAGCGGAGCAGCTGGTGGGATTGGACGGCCAACCTTTGTCAGCAGATGAGCACTTAACCACTGTTCCACCAGGGCTCTTTTCTGGTATCATGGGATTGTCTAAATTAAATATGGCTTTATACTGTTGGATAAATAAGCTACTTTAATGCTTCCTTTCCTTTAATTACCTAAATAAGATCATCAACAGACTTACAAAAGTCCTTAATTTATTTTGAAGATAGTTTGGAGTCAAGTACTTTTCTAATTCTTAGGTTAGGTAATTAAATTTTATATGTTATGTTTTAAACCAAACCCATTGCCATCGAGTTGATTCCAACTCAGAGCGACCCTATAGGACAGAGTAGAGCTGCCCCACAGGGTGTCCAAAGAGTGGCTGTTGGATTCAAACTGCTGACCTCTTGGTTAGCAGTCGAGCTCTTAACTGGTGTGCCACCAGGGCTCCATATGTTATGTTAGATGCTTAAATTGTAATTACATTGTTATAAACTATATTATTTTAACTGAGTGTTATTTAATGACTCATAATATCATTTAAGTGTATGGTCCTCCGCAGGCCTTCTGTGGCCATGCCCTCCCCATCACCAATCTAAATGCTCTTTACTCCTTCCTCATCACTCCTTACCCTGCTTGGTTTTTCTTCAACACATTTATCACTATTTGAAAGTAAATTATTTGACTGTCTCCTCTACTGGAAAGTAAATACCATGAGTTCAGGGAGCTGTTTGCTCACTACTGTCCCTCAGAAATGTATCTGGCGTGTAGTAGATAACCAATGATATTTTTTTATGAATGAATAAAGTTAGTGAAAGATAAAGATTTTTTTTTCTTGCCCAAAGTTTGGAATAAGTAATGGAGAAAACTAATTATAAAGCAATTTTCTTCTTAAAATTAAATGACCTAGCATGACCTTGAAATCCTTGAATGAAGAATGTGGTGTATATTTGAGACTCTCAGAAGTCTTTCTCCTGCCTGTTCTAACTTTCAACTCTGCCCACAATCAGCACAAAACAGAAATTTAGATACTCTTGCCTGGTTTTACTACAGGATATTTTAACAGTCTCAAAAGACTTTTCCAGAAATCTCAAACTTGTGACAGACTGACCAGCTGTTAAAGATGATAGAGGTTTTGAAATAGAAGTTTACTGGTACGTCATTCTGCATAATCTTCATTGAATTGAAATTGGAGGCAATATGGTATGGTGAAAAGGAGCCGGAGGCATTGGTGCAGGTCCCAGCTTTGTTAAGAGCTAGCTACGTAGCCTTGGGAAAGTCACCTGAATGCTCTGGCCTCAGTTTCATCATCTATAAAATGGGCAGATTTGACAAGATAACTTCCAAAGCTCCTTGCAATGCTTTTGATGATAATGTTTCACTGAGTGTGGGAGGGTAAGGAGAATAAATGCCCCTAAACATTCAATCTGCTACTCACAGAGGGATAAAATTTTCCCAGAACTCTAATCCTTTAGTTTATGCCTTAGATTAATTCTGACATATGTCCGCTTGGGGAACACTTAGCAATTATCAGTCATTTACACTTTTATAGTAATAATAGCAGCTGCCTTTCACTGTGCTAAGAAACTTTACATGCCAGTATACCTCTTTAATTCTCTCAACTATGCCGTGAAGTAGGTACTGTGCTATCAAAGTTTTCCAGATAAGAAAACTTTAGCTTAGAATGGTTGAAAAGCAGCAAAGTGGAATAGTTATATATAGACCGGAGCCAGATAGCCCAAATTCAAATCCTAGCTCTGTTACTTCCTAGCTGTGTGACCTCAGGCAAATTATATAAGCCATCCATGTTTCAGCGTCCTCATCTACAAAATAGATACTCTGAAAATAAAAGTATTTACCTCATAAGGTTATTATAAGAATTAGGTAGAGTACTTACAACAGTGCCTGGTACATGATAAACATTAGCTATTTTCATTCCTGCTAAAAGAAACAGAGCTAGCAAGCAACAAAGTCCTCGTCTCTGACATGGTCGGATTTTTGATGGGGAGAGAGAAAGAGCTCAAGATATAAGCCACCTAACGAAAAAGGCTGGGGCTCTGGAGACTGATGCATTAAGTTCTCTTGCTAATAAAAAATTTGCTGTAGCTGATAGGCAAGTCCATGCAAATCCCAGGTAAACTGTTGTGTGAAGAAGGGCCAGAGGGAAGTAACAGAAGGGGCGGCACCACTGTGCTCCTTAGCGTTTTGGGGATGGAAATGCCATAGACAAGAACAAGTGAAGCATTTCCCTTTAGAAAGGTGAAAATATTTAAAAAGGTTCATCAGAATTCACTTTAGACTCAGCTCAGGAGATCACTCTGACATTTGAATAGAGCGCTGTAACTACTCCACGCTGCTCAGTGCAGGTATCACATCAGGGTGTTCTGTGAGTGTGCAATGGGCCCTGGACAGGCCCCCCAACTCAGTGCTGTACTCATAAATGCCCCCTCCTGAAACCCTGGTGGCGCAGTGGTCAAGTGCTATGGCGGCTAACCGAAGGGTCGGCGGTTTGAATCGACCAGGCACTCCTTGGAAACCCTGTCAGGCACTTCTACTCGGTCCTACAGGGTCACTATGAGTCGGAATTGACTGACGGTAACGAGTTTTTTAGTCTGTTCTAGAAGTCCCTGGGTGGTGTGAACAGTTAATGTGCTCGGTTGCTAACCAAAAGGTTGGAGGTTTGAGTCTCCACAGAGGGACCCTGAAAGAAAGACCTGGTGATTTACTTCCAAAAACTCAGTCACTGAAAATACTTTGGAGCACGGTTCTACTCTTACACACATGGGGTTGCTGTGAGTCAGAGTCGGCAACTGGTTTGGTGTAGTTTTTTATTCCATTCTAAGAGGGGCGCTGGTGGAAGAACATTTAGAGTTTCATCACAGACTCATAAGTATTTAGGCCTAGGGAAGTTGCAGATTTTCACGGAGATATTAGTTTATGTGACTAGAGGAAATGTTCAACAGAAGCCAAAACTGACTCATCTGAAGAAAACGCCTCAGTGGTAGGTTGCTACCGTGTCATTATTATAGGAAAGATGGTAATTACTGTCACAGAGGTTATTCAGAACTCTTTTCCTAGGGAGTGTCTCAGAGTGATTCAGTGGGGGTGTGTATTAAACACACCAGGAAGTGAAAATGTATCTATGACCTATTCTTGCTCTCTATTTAAAAAAAAGCTGAGAATGATGTTCAAGTTATATTTTATTTGAGGCTGATATCTAGAAAACATAAAAATTAGTACAAATACAAATTCTTAATATTTTGGTAAAACCAGACTCTCTTGGAATCTGTCTATCTTGCACGTTGAAGAGATGATGCATTTATTATTACCAATTTGCTATGGTTAAAAAGGAAGTGAAATATGTATCTCAAAGACCTGAGTTAAGTTTCCATATAAAGAAAAAGTAATTAATAAAGGGAAACCACAGACCCTAGCATTTTTAGCTACAGTATAATTTTCTCAAGAGTGTCTGATTAATAATCAAATAATTAAAAGGCCATAAAGATATTTTTATACTGTTTTTACACTGTTACGTAATGTGATGATGTTTGCATACACCTATATACCTAGGTGGAGACCTGGCTGCTCAGTGGTTAAGAGCTCGGCTGCTAACCGAAGGGTCTGTTGTTCAAATCCACCAGCTGCTCCTTGGAAACCCTATACGGCAGCTCTACTCTGTCCTATAGGGTTGCTATGAGTCATGATCGACTCGACAGCAATGCTTTTTAATGAGTATATACTTAGGTGAGGAGCTGCTGGTGCAGTGGTTAAAGCACTTAGCTGTTAACTGAAAGGTCAGCGGTCCAAACCCACCATCTGCTCTGTGGAGAAAGATATGGCGGTCTGTTTCCATAAAGATTTACAGCCTTGGAAACTCTATGGGGGCAGTTCTCCTTCCTGTAGGGTCATTATGAGTTGGAACTGACTTGATGGCAGTGGGTTTGGTTTGAGATATACCTAGGCTATCTATTCTCTTGCAATAACTATAGTAGATAGTGTCAGGAAGATGTCCTGAAATTGAATAGTCAGAATAGCATTAAGGATAAAAGACAGAGGAAATTAATTGAGCTCCATAATATTTTTGCCAAAAAAAAAGCCTTTTCTATGATTTTGCTATGAAAATAAAATGTAAAGATCCCTTATACCATACAATTTTATTTAAAAAAAACACAAAAACTTGTTTCATTCGTTGTTCTAAAAAAATGGTGCATATCTGCCAATAAAAATGTAAATTTTCTTACATATAAGATAAAATATACTTACTTTTATTTCAGTCTTTTCAATTATATCCTAATCAAAACTTTGTTAACAAATAGATTTTAAACCTCATTTTAAGCAGATTTTCTTTAAACACCCTTTTCCAGTAGCGATTATCCTCCTAGTCAAGGACTTCTTGTGCCCCTTAGACACTATGCCATGATTTGTAGCTGGGCCAGTTCCCCCAAATAATTTCCTGTTCAGTCCTGGCTCTTCTCCATTTGCTGGGCATCAATACTTTTCAGAACCCCCATTAAATCTGGATACATATGGAGATTTGCATGTAATTCTTATCCATTCCCCACATCTTAATCCTTCATTGCATGCTGCCCTCTCTGATGCTCTAGCCCCCTATATAATCATAAGATATTTGAGAGAAAGAAATGGCCAATATCTTCGATAGTTTTATAATCCCTGATCCCACTCCACTACCTACTTAGAGTAGGGCCAGCTAAGTACATGGCACCTGTGAGGACTTGCTGCCTTCAATTCTTCCAGCCGTTTTAAAGTATTTCAACTTCTCCTTTCTTCACACCCACTACCATCATGGATGTTCATTCCCTACTCAAAAGGACAAATTGGTGGAAGAGGTGAAAAGCCATGAACAGAGCAAGGGAGACAGAAAAGTCTCAAAAAAACATAGTCACATGGGCCACCTGGAGTTTCAGGACCACTTCTCTTCTTATAGGGGCTATGATTTGGGGATCCGTGGACCCCTGAGTAGTCTATGGATGTGTCTCAGGGATCCATAACCCCCCTGAACCTTCAAGCAAAGCTCTGTGTGATACAAATTTCCTGTGGAGAGAGTTCATAGTTTATAAGATTTTGAAGAGTCCAGGACAACCCTCCTATGCCCTACCCTCCTGAAAATTTAACCTATACTTCTTTAATCTTTAGGAAATGGCATGAGGTATAAATACTGATCTCAGAGTCTTACCTTTTCCACGAAGTACATAATGCCCTCATGGCCACGCTGGCCAGGGGGCTTCCAGCTTAGCACCACGTAGCTCCGGGTGGCCTCAGTAACAGAGAGGTCTGTGGGGGGCCCAGGAATAATACCTTCTGAAAAATACAAAGGAAAAATGAGAAGCACACATTCTAAGTAGTCCAGGATGCCCAGACAGTCAAAATATGCTCTCTATGTGGGAAGAGTTAATTACTGTCCCATAGTATAAAGAAGTACCATGTCTCTAAACTCCTCCCTAAAAGTTATTCATTCATTCAAATACTATCTGAGGCTGGAGAAAGAATCACACAACAGGACTAGGGGGAACACTCCTCAAAGCTTTCCCAGGGCCTAGAATAGTTCGTGTTCCCACTAGCCAGAATGGATGGAAAATTCCCTGAGTATTCAGAAGGGTATTGCCTCTGTAGCATGGTCAAATTATCCCAAACTAAAGGCTGCTCTGATCCCATTTGACAAAAGCAAGCCTTGAAAGGATTCAATTATTTCCAACTAATCTAACTGCATCTCAGAACAAAGCTACAAATATTTATAGAAATACAAAAATATCTAGCACCCAACAATGTAAAATTCAAAATGGTTGGCATCCAATAACAAATTACCACGTGTAGAAAGAAGCAAAAAAAATACAAGCCATAATGAGGAAAAAAAAAAAAAAAAAAACAATTAACAGAAATAAAACTAGAAATGACAAAGATGATAGAATCAGTAGATAAGGATATAAAAACAGTTATTATAACTATATGCTATATGTAAAGAGGGTAGAGACTGAACATGTTAAGTAAAGACAGGGAAAATATAAAAAATGATACAAATCAAACTTCTAGAGATGAAAACTACAAAGTCTAGGATGAAATATACACTGGCTGCAATGCAGATTCGACACCGAAGAAGAAAAGGTAGTAAAGTTAATGACATTGCAAAAGAAAATATCCAAAATGAAACACAGAAGCAAAAAAGTCTGAAAGAAAAAACAATTGAATTTGTAGTTTAAAAGATTTCCAAAAAGAAAACTCCAGATCTAGATGGTTCTACTCATGAATTCTACTACGCATTTAAAAAAGAAATAAGAAAAGTTCTACATAAACTCTTCCAGAAAATTAAAATACAGAGAATACTTTCCAACTCATTCAATGAGGCCAGTATTATCTTGACACCAAAACCAAAGAAAGACTTCACAAGAGAATACAGACCAACAGCCCTCATGCAAACTTCTTAACAAATTTTTAACAAATAAACTCTAATAATATATAATATAATATATCCTCTTTAGAGGATAATACAGCATGTCCAAGTGGGATTTATCCCAGGAATGCAAGGCTAGTTTAGTACTCTAAAATCAGTCACTGTAATTTACATGTCAATGAAAAAAGAAAAATCATATGTTCATCTCAGTAGATACAGAAAAGCATCTGAGAAAATCTAACATCCATTCCTGGTAAAAACTCAGCAAATTAGGATTAAAAGGGACCGTTCTCAACCTGATAAACGCAGTCTATAAAAACTGACAGCTAACACTTACTAGTGTTTGACTTAATAGTGAAAGACTAAATCGTTTTCCCCTGAGATCAAGAAAAGGCAAAGATGTTCAGTCTCTCTACTTTTATTCAACACTGTACTTGAGTTTCTAGTTGGTGCAATAAGCAAAGAAAAAGAAATAAAAGGCATCTAGATGGAAAGGAAGAAGTTAATCTAGTCTCAGGTGACATGATTTTTTATGTATAAAGTCTTAAGGAATCCACAGAAACTTCTAGAATAAATTAGTTCAGCAAGAATGCAGGATACAAGATCAATATACCAAAAAAAAATTGAATTTCTATACACTAACATCAAAAACTGGAAATTGAAATTTAAAAACAATGCCATTTATAGCAGCATCAGGAATATGAAATTCTTAAGGAGAAATCTGACAAATGTTCAAAACCTGTACACTGAAATGACTAAATATTGCTGAGAGAAATTAAAGAAAATCTAAATAAATTAAGAGATATACAGTATTCATAAATTGGAAGACTCAGTGTTAAGATGTCAATTTGCCCCAAATTGGTCTTTAGATTGAACAGAATCTCAATCAAAATTCCAGCAGATATTTTGTAGAAATTGACAAATTGATTTTAAATTTTATATGGAAATGCAAAGACTTAGAATAGCCAAAACAACTTTGAAAAACAACAAGATTACTAGACTTATACTATCTGATTTCAAGATACAAGGCTTATAACAAACAAAACAAATATAGTTTATAAAAGTTACAGTAATTAAGACAGTGTGGTATTGGTGTAAAGAAAACCATATTGATCAATGAGACACAAGAGAGATTCCAGAAATAGTTCTACAAATATATAATCAATTGATTTTGACAAAGGTGTCAAGACAATTCAATGGGGGAGAGGATAATCTTTTTAATAGATACTGCTGAAACAATTGGATAGCCACATGCAAAAAAATGAACTTCCACCCTTACTTCATACAACACGCAAAAAATTAATTTGTAATGGATCACAGACTGAAATGTAAGAGCTAAAACTTCTAGAAGAAAACAGAATATCTTAGTGAAGTCAATTTATCAAAGATGTCAAAAATGACACAAAAATGGCAAATACTAAGGAAATTAGAAGATGCTCAATACCGTGTTCCATTAGGGAAATGCAAATTAAACTATGGAGAAATAAAACTACACACCCAACTAGAATAGCTAACATTAAAAAACTAATCATTCCAAGCACTGGTGACAATGCGGAGCAACTGGAACTCTTTAATACATTGCTAGTGACAATGTAAAATCATAGTTATTTTGGAAAACGGTTTGGCAGTTTCTTAAGAAAATTAAACCTACACCTATCATATGACCTACTCATTCAACTCCTAGGTATTTATCCAAGAGAAATGAAGGCACATGTCCACACAAACACTTAACAAGAATATTCATGGAAGCTTTCAATAGCGAATGAACAAATAAATTGGAATGAACTGATAGATGCATCAACATGGATGAATCTAAGAATAATTATGCCAAGTGAAATAAACTAGACAAAAATAATACATACTGAATGATTTCATTTATCTAAATACTAGAAAATGCAAACTAAATCTACAGTGACAGAAAGCAGATCAATGAAGACCTGCAGATGGGGGAGAGGGGTGGGAGGGAGAGATTACGAAAGGGCACAAGGATGTGATGCATATGCTCATTATTTTCATTATGGTGATGGTTTCACAAGTGTATACACATGTAAAAGTTATCAAATTATACACTCTGTATATGTATAATTTATTGTATGACAATAATAACTCAATAAAGTGGTGATTCTCAGACCATATGTTGCTTTGTAATTTCCAAATATTTCCTTTGATTTGGGCTGCTCTCCTCAAATGTCTTAAATAATATACACTGTACCTTTTACAACAAAAGCTAATCTGCACAGCAAAGGCATTGGCAATAATACCTGGCGAAACCATAGTTCTTACCTGTAGGTTCCTCTTCAGTCACAATGATCTGTCCAGTCCAGGGTGCTGAAGGGCGACCTGAACAAAGAACAAAGAAAAATATAAAAATTGCAACACTCAGTTCAGTTGTTTCAACTGCACTCATAAACTGATAAACTGGTCAGATCAGTCACAAATGGGTTTGCTTCTAGTTGTGTATTTTCTTAATGAATCTTATTGAGTGTGTACATGGTATTATGGCCTCTGTCCTCAAGGGACTGACAATCTGCTAAACCAGTTGCCATCGAGTCAGTTCTGACTCATGGCAACCCCACGTGTGTCAGAGTAGAACTGTGCTCCATAGGTTTTTCAATGGCTGATTTTTTGGAAGTAGATTTCTAGGCATTTCTTCCAAGGTGGCTCTGGGTGGGCTCAAACCACCAACTTTTAGGTTAACAGCCAAACAGAGTAAACTGTGTGCACCACTCAGGGACTCCCACAGTCTGCTAGAGCCTAGTTATTTGCCTGGATTGACTAAACTGATTTTTTTCTGGAATTGTACAAATAGTCTGTGTTCAGTTACTGCTCAATATGTATCTCCTGGAGGCGGGGCCAAGATGACGGAGTAGTCAGACGCTTCCAGTGGACCCTCTTACAACAAAGGCCCGAAAAAAACAAGTGATTCAATTATATGTGGCAATCTGGGAGCCCTGAACACCAAAGGCAGAGTTGAGGAACCAGCCTGAGTGGCAGGGGGAGGGAGAGACAGTTCAGAAGCAGTGAGGAGTTGCCAGACCCGACCCGGTGAGAGCCTGAGCCCTTCAGGCCTGATCAGCTTTGGGGTGAGCAATGAGGCAGGCAAGCAGCCGTGTTCAGGAGGCATTGGGAGAGACCCAGCACCAGAGAGTCTACACGGCCACCCAGAACCAGTGAGAAGTAGGCCTGGATCCGCGAAAGATAAGTACTTGTGTAAGGCCTACCATGAGGATCAAAAATACCCCCCTTAGGGAAAAACCTCTCTCCCATTTACCTCCCCACTCCCTGCTCTGCACTGGGTCCTAGACCGACTTCAGCAATTGCCGAGTCCCCTGGGCTGGAAGTAGGATCTCTCACACGCCCAGAACCATTCTCCCAGACTTGGAGAGTGAACAAATTAACAGAGGAAAAACTAAACTGCTGGCTCACCTAAGCCAGGAACCCAGAGTAGGCACAGCTCCTTTGCCTAGGCACAGGCATAAGGGATCCACAGACTTTGAGTGCCTTTCCCCCTGCATAGACTTATGTGGGCCCATCTCAACAGCATAGGCCCTCATTACCACAGTACAACAGGATATATACCGGAACTCTAACTTCAACTGTTTCAGCTGTGAAGTGTCAGGTTCTTGACACTTGACACTGCTTTGCCCATTAAGCAGGGTCTTCACCTACCCACATCAGGCATCTAAGGACTGGTGGCTCCACCCACATCACCTAGCCACCTGCGATAGGGGCCCATGACTAAGAGGTGGCCCCCAGTCCTTACAGCCAACAGCATTAGGTGCTCATAGTCTGGCTGCAAAACCTACCCACCTACATGATCTAGGAAACACGGACATGACTTCCTCCTGGACACCTGGGGGTGGCCGTCAGCCCCCTGCCTTGCTCAGAGTGTGTCCCCCTGCTGCAGCCAGATGCCTGTGCCTACACCAATCATCCATGCCTTTCCAGGACTGTAAGTGACAGCCTACACCACACACTTGGTGGCTATCTACCTGGGCACCTGAGCTGAATCCATACAGGAGGAGTGGTCAGACTTCAGAGCTCATATACCTAGTAACAGATCTAACTACCTGGTGATAGGACATTAGCGCTTCAAAGGTGCCAATAATCAAACTAGCTCATACAACAGCCTATTTGGGCATATCAAAACAAGAAGCTAGGACACAGTAAGCAAACATAAATAAATATAATAATTTACTGATACCTCGGAGACAACAGTCAATATTAAATCACATGAAGAGGCAATCTATGATGGCTTCAGCAAGCTCCCAAAATAAAGAATCTAGAAATTTTCCAGAGGAGGAAAATTCATCAGAATTACCGCTGGCAGAATACAAAAGATTAATATACAGAACTCTTCAAGAAATCAGGAAGGAAATTAAGCAAAATCAGAACAAGCAATAGAGGAAATTAAAAAGATTGGAGAAGAGCATAATGACAAATTTAACAGGCTGCAAGAATCCACAGAGAGACAGCAATCAGAAATCCAGAAGATTAACAATAAAATTTCAGAATTAGACAACTTAGATAAAGCACTTGACACCAACTTATTTGAGGAAAAATCAGATAAAAGAATTTAAAAAAATGAAGACACCCTAAGAATTATGTGGCACTCTATCAAGAGGAATAACCTACGAGTGATTGGAGTACCAGAACATGGGAGATAACAGAAAATACAGAGAGAATTGTTGAAGATTTGTTGGCAGAAAACCTCCCTGACATCGTGAAAGATGATAAGATATCTATCCAAGACGCTCACCGAACCTCACATAAGGTAGATCTCAAAAGAAAGTCACCAAGACATATTATAATCAAACTTGCCAAAACTGAAGATAAAGAGAGACTTTTAAGAGCGGCTAGGGAGAAACGAAAAGTCATCTACGAAGGAGAGTCAATGAGAATAAGCTCGGACTACTCAGCAGAAACCATGCAGGCGAGAAGGCAATGAGATGACACATATAAAGCCACGAAGGAAAAAAACTGCCAGCCAAGAATTATATATCCAGCAAAACTATCTCTCAAATACAATGGCGAAATTAGGGCATATCCAGATAAACAGAAGTTTAGGGAATTTGCAAAAACCAAACCAAAATTACAAGAAATACTAAAGGGAGTCCTCCAGTTAGAAAATCAGTAACATCAGATAACAACCCAAGACCAGAACAAAGGACAGAGCAACCAGATATCAACTCAGATAGGGAAGTCACAGAAGTAAATCAAAGCGAAAACACTGAAAATAGGGAAACAGACGTCAATATATAAAAGATGACAACATTAAAACAAAAAAGAGGAACTTAAAAAATGTAGACACAGATTTTTCATATGGAGAGGAAGTCAAGATGATATAAAGAAATAAAAGACTGGCATAAACTTAGAAAAACAGGGGTAAATATTAAGGTAACCACAAAGGAAATTAACAGTCCTACAAGTCAAAATAAAAAACTAGAAAAATATAAAGACTCAGCAAACACAAAATCAACAACAATGAAAAGATGAAAAGAAAATACATACAGAAAAATGACTCAGCACAGAAAATTAAGGGGAACAAAGAAACTGTGAACAACACACACATCAAAATGACAGCACTAAATTCATACCTATCAATAATTACGCTGAATGTAAATGGACTAAATGCACCAATAAAGAGACAGAGAGTGGCAGATTGGATAAAAAAACACGATCTGTCTATATACTGCCTAAAACAGACACTCTTAGACTTAAAGACACAAACAAACTAAAACTCAAAGGATGGAAAAAATATATATCCAGCAAACAACACTCAAAAGAGAGAAGGAGTGGCAATATTAATCTCTGACAAAATAGACTTTAAAGTAAAATCCACCATAAAGGATAAGGAAGGACACTATACAATGTGTATCTCCTGAAATATGTAATCTTTCTGGTCCCTTCTTAAGATATAGCATGTATTTGGGAAAGACGTTTCTAGAACAATTTTAAGCTCAGTGGTTATTTACGAGTCATAATGAGGATGAAAGAAGAGAGCGGCGCTGATCCGGCAGTAAAGCTCAGTGAAAGCAATTTTTCCCCATTACATTTTGAGAAGTGTTATCTACAAAGGAAACCGATTTGGATCCTGAGTAAGAAAAATGGATGAGACAGATAGTGTAAATTTAAAGAGGAAATTCATTTCCGTGATCTCACAGACGTTGGAAAGAGAGAGTAGTTCAACTCCTATTTTAAACAAAGGCCTTTTCACCAGAGTTTGTGTAAAAACAGAAAGGTGATAAATAAGACAACTTCTTTTCAATTCAAACAAATCTTGTTTTTGCTGGAATTTATAAAAGAGGAGTAAGTGAAATTATGAGATAGAATTTGCAAATTTAGGAAAAAGGAGGGGAAGTCAGCTGATTGGTGAAATGACTGGAGAGCAGTCAAGGAGGCTGATTAGGCTGAATTGGTCTCCAGGGAAAAGATGGCATTTGTTTTACTTAGAGTCTTCCGATGCCTCGACATGTAATCAAAGTAAAGAATATCACTGTGAATGTGGCATAGATAATATTCTTCAACTAGGGTGATCTTTCCCCCCAAGGGACATCTGGCAACGTCTGGACACATTTTTGGTTGTCACAGCCAGGGGGTTGCTACTGGCATTGAGTGGGTAGAGGCCAGGACTGCTGTAAACATCCTACAATGCACAGGACATCCCCCTCAACAGAGAACTGTTGTTGAATTACCTGGCCCAAAATATCAATAGTGCTAAGGGTGAGAAATCTGGTATAGATTAAAGTGTTAATTTCAACAATTCTTTTAGCGTCTTTTTATAGCCACTATTATCAGGGATGCCATCCAGGTTCCTATGAAGCAAACCAAAAAAAAAACAGACCCGTTGCTGTCGAGTCAATTCTGGCTCATAGTGACCCTATAGGACAGAGTAGAACTGCCCCATAGGGTTTCCAAGGAGAAGCTGGTGGATGTGAACTGCTGACCTTTTGGTTAGCAGCCGAGCTCTGAACCGCTGCACCACTAGGGCTCCACATGCAGGGCATAATTCATATACCACGGTTCTGACTTGGAGCTAAATACATGGAAAAATTACATTTGACTGTCTAATATGGAAAGTCAAGTATAAGTCAGATCTAATGTTGTAGATCTGTTTATCCTTTTACATAGAGAAACTCACTGTGTTAAGATATTAATGCCCTAAGGGCCAATTTCTAGGTTAAGAAATTCGCTTTGAAACAGAGAGAAAACTGTATTTGCAATGCACGAATGAACAAAAATGCTCTCCAGGTTTTTGGTTTTCATTTTTCAGTCAGACATGATACTTAAAATTCAGTTAAACAAGGCAAAGTGTTCTGAATCAGAAGAAAAAGAAAAGAAAGTCCTTTAGAGAATAGATTAAGTTAAAAAAAAAAACTTCTTTAATTTTCTGTTTTTTAACGCTAGGATTTTCTGACTAATAAAGGATATCTTGCTCTTTTCTCCCTCTAGTGGAAGAGAGAGGATTAACCTTGCAATGAAGCTTATTCTTACAGATTTTTTTAAAAAAAGCTTTATGAAAGATAAAGATAAAAGTGCTTACTTTTGAGTCTAGCTTTTTCAGCTGGATCCAGAGCAGCTACAGCCTCAGACACTCGGGATGGTAGACCGATTCCATTTTTATTCACAGCTCGAACTCGGAATGTATAGGAACGCCCTTCTATCAAACCAGTGACTGGAAAACGGGCAAACTTCACAGGTGTGTCATTGCACTGAGACCAGGTATCTGTGCCCACCTCACATCTATGGGAAAAGCAGTGTTGAAAAAAATATTAAAACAAGTCTGTAGGGAACAATGAGTTAAGGGTGATGGAAAAATTCAGGAACAGTTAATGGTGATGTTTGAAAAGCATGATAAACATATTTAATGTCACTGAATTGTATATGGGAAGACTGTACAAATGGAAAACATTTTGTTACCTATATATTTACCACAATAAAAAAATGATAAAAGAGAAAAACGTAAAATAAATAGAAGTCTGGATAAATAAATAGCTCCAGAGCTGCAAACCTGCTCAGTTGCTTCAGATTGTCTCTCTACAAAATACCTGAGTGGTTTGCTAGTTATTTAACTGCAGGCACTCAGCTGTGTTCAACTGCAATGTGTCTCCTTGAACAAGAAGAAAGAAGTCTCAGATGCTTCCTGAACACACATGAGCTCTTTGAACTCATTAAAAGCAGGCAATGAGGACTCTGTGTTTGGGGGGTGGGGAGGGGGGAGAAGCAGACAGGTATCTACCATCTTTATTTCAGAGACACAGAGGAAAGCTCCCTCAAGCGTCTGGTTCTTTTCTTTGTCTTCTTTAGTCATTTTCTGTTAAAGATGGAACTAATGCTGAGAAAGTTGACACCGTTAAGAGATGCCTATTCGTACTGTGGTTTGGAAATAGCCCACCATACCTTTCACTCGGTGGTCAGGCCATCCTGTGAGGGTAGAAGGGCAAGCAGGGTGTTGTACTATGTTTGTTTTTTAAGAGATGAGATTGAGATGCAGAGAGATTCCCAGGCCCAGCAGGGGGAAGATGAAGTGCTTAGAACTTCAGATTTCTAATTGGATGCTTTTATAGAGGCTGCTACCTGGGGGGTGGAGCGGGTCACCCTCAAAGAGCTGAAGATGACAGTTTATATTATGCTACTGGCCTGCTCACATGGTTTCGGGGGCTCAATGAGTGAGCAAATTATATAGTATTAGGATTACATAACTCCTAGTATTATTTTCTATGAGCAGAGCACTGAAATTTTAGTTATATCACTTCCTCAAAATGACTCTATGTCCCAAATGTATGATTCTCAAGGGGAAAGGGTGGCCAAGGGCGATGCAAAGGTGGTCGGGGTGGGGAGCTTTTCTATCCTTCCCCATCATCACACTTCCATTCTGTGACACAGACAACAGACATTTTTCTCAACCTTATGTAAAGTGCTGTCAGATACAGCTTCAATCCCTGTCTTCCACTTACTTCCTCTAATCTTTCCTTTGTGGAAATACTGGATCTGCTATGCGTGGGGCGTGGCAGCACAAGCTGAGAGGGCAAAGGTGATTTTTGAAACTGCCCCTGTCTCCGGAGGTTTCTACCGGGACTCTCCTTTCTTCTCTGTCCCGAGATTGCCATAATGAACCACTGACACTAGAGAGCACCTCCTAGCCCTCATGAGGGCAGGAAAAAAGGTAGAGGACCACTGCTCTAGAGACTTCTACAGTATGTTGGAGCAGAAAGAGCACAAATCTACAGAGAGGCTGATATCTGAATTATAGTTCTGCTACTTACTCCCTGTGTGACCTTAGGTGAGTTATTTCCTCAAATGCTTTGTCTATTTGCAAGAGCCTGTTTATGTCTGACAAAGTCAGACCAAAGGCTTAGAGCAACAGGGACCATCTAGGTTTCAAAAGTGACTCTAAGATTCTGGTGCCCAGAATCCACAGCCATATTTTATGCTGCTGGAGCATGGCCTGCCCTGATTATATACATTACTGTATTTTTGCAAATAACATGCCCACACATATAACGTGTGGAAATAACGTAAAACAGTTCTGCCATAGCGCGCCTATGTGTATACTGCGCATGTTCAGTGACATTTCCAGAAGTGAAGTTCGGCCTCATTCACCTGTTACAGTGTTCTTTTCATTTTCTTTTTTTCTGTTCATTTTCTTTAATCTCCTGCTTATGAGTATAAAAATAATTTGAAAATGTTACTTTTGATCATAACTGTATAATAAAGGTATAAGCCATGCTCAAGAAGTCATGGATCGAGTTTGGTAGTCCCCCAGTAATCAGAAAATAGGCAATCAAAACTGTGCATTTGTTTCTATTAATTTAAGTTGATAATTATAGCCATTAGCTCAACAGATGAATGTGAAAACCTTATCAGATCATCTTAACTGAAACCATCAGCTTATGTTAGGTCTGCTTATTTCATAGTTTAACTATGTCTTCTTATTGTCAGTTAAAGTCAGCAACATGTGAAAAAAATTGGCATAGCACACTTATGAAAATAACACACAGTGGGTTGTACAGTTGGCAAAAAAAACACATAACTTGTGCATTATTTGCAGAAAAAACACAGTACATTCCTGGAATGTGGTTAGGAGCACTGTTCCCTACTAAGCACCTGAGGAGGCTGAACTCTGTTCACTGAGAACTTGAGCAAAAGCCCAAAGCTGGTCTTCAGGTGTGAGGGGTAGCTTTAAGTTGGGGAATAGAGAGGGGGAAGGGGATTTCTGAGTGAAGTCAGAGTGAAGATGAGCGACAGGATCTCCTAGGCTGGTGCTTAGAATGCAGGCTGCAGAGCCAGACTGCCTGACTCAAACCCAGCTCTCCTCTCTAGCATGTGGCCTTGGGTGAGCTAGTCATCTCCTGCTTGTGATGATAGGACCTACCTCAAAGGGTGGTTATTTGGATTAAGTGGTTAATATAAGTGAAGTGTTTAGAACAGAGCCATGCACATGGTAAATATTTAATAAATATTAGCCATGATATGACTATTTATATTATGACTAAGGCAAGAAGAGAACAAAATGTTCTGATTCTCCCTGGTCTTTCACTGGTCAAAGTTTGCAAACACCTTGGAAATCTGCCAAAGACCAATAAAACATCATTACTAAATGATGAAATAATGTGGAAGCATTTAGTGAATGTTTAAATACTATATAATTCTCTAAATATTAGATTTACTATAACTTAGTATAGATAGATATCCTAAATAAACACTAAATATTTCTCTGGATGGTACTGAGCCCACATGCTTTAGTAGGGAGTGTATATTTACTTATTGCTATAAATATTAGGTTTAATATACCTTGGTACAAACCTATTTACCATAGTGACATATATTATCTGTCCCTAATGGTTTCTATAATCAGATTTCATTACTCAAAAATGAAAAGAGAATTGGAGCAACCATTTGAGTAGAAACTAAGTCAGAGAACAATGAATTTAAGTCAGTAATCTAAATTTGTTGTCTATATTGTCCAAATTTACTGGATAATTAATGTGTAAAACCCATTACACATTATAGTAACCCACTTATTCTAAAAAGCAGAGCTTCTGAATTTTGGAGAATGTAAATGGCAAGAACTTGTAAAAGAACATAATTTAATACCATTGATTTTTGTTGTTATTTCTTTGTATAATTTGAAACCACATTCTGTAACGTAAATAAGATTTTGTTAGAATTTCTAAAGTCAATATTCTTAAATTACTGACATATTAGGCATATGGATATGAAATACATTGAATACTAGCTATTAAATTTCCAAAGTGGTGTCTATTAGGTTACAAATTCATAGCATTCTTGCTAAATTAATTACTTGAGGTGGTAGTCAAATTCAAAGATTATCTTTGGAATTTAGATAGATAGATGATAGACAGGCTATATATATACATAAGATATAGGTATGTAGAAAGAGAGAGACAGAGAATGCAAAAATGAAAATTTCACCTAAAAATGATGGGAGAAATCAAGCATGCATCTCTATGACCAAATAGCTTTAACTTGAACTGAAGTTAAGCTAAGCACTAACTTATCAATAAAGTATCCCAGAATAGGACTTCCTCCGTCTACAGCTGGCTGTTTCCAAGAGATGATGATATAATCCTTGTTGGCATCTAAGCACATCACATCCAAGGGAGAAGCTGGAGCACCTTCAATCTCTGCATCAGCATCTGGGGAGATGGAGAAGGATCCCATTAACACTCTCAGATTTGCTGTGTCAGTTTGGCAGGCTGACGTCTCAGTGCAGACATTTCTTGTAGCACTACCATACTGGCTACATCTTTGGGCCCAGTAAAGCAAGCTTCAGCTACATCTTTGGGCCCAGTAAAGCAAGCTTCAATCTTGTCAGTTGCTTACTAACATCACAATGTGCGCTTTCCATCTTCAGTAGGAAGAACACTAGGTTAGAAAATAGAGAGGGCTCTGAAAATGACCCCTGACCTTTACCTCATGGCCCTTGCCTGTCCAAAATGTTCTGAAAGTAAATTAATATAGAGATGTTGGAGATTGCTATCAGGCAGGTCCAAGGTAAGTTGTGCCAGGAAGTCTGTTCTTATGACATTTATTATGCAATGCCACTACTCAGAAGCTATGAGACGCTCCAAAGGGAAGCAAACAGCCCCTCCTTTCACTTTCTGGATGCATCTACAAGAGAACGACAACCCTGGAGTTTTGCCTATCCCAATGCTGGGAATCACTGTGGAAGAGAAAGGAAAACATTCATTTTGATCAAATGTTTGTTCCCAAACTGAAGATACTTACGAAAGGACTCTGATGCAATACCCACGTCGGAGCTTAGTTTATCTGAGTTTAGTAAAAGTCCAAGATTAAACAAGACACTGAGGACAGTGTTTATGAAACGGGATCTTCAGAGAGTGGCTACCCTCAGTACATCTTCAGGCACAGTGAAATTAGTGAATCAGGGTCTTTTTAGGAGAAGAGGAAGGAGAATGAAAATCCATTTGTATCCTTTTAAGTGAGAACTATTAAGATAAGAGGCAGAGTCTGGGGGGTTGGGAGGTCCACATTTGCCAATGTCTCCTGATATCTGACCTATCCTTTCATAAACGGAGCTAGTGGGAGAAGAGGAGACAAGTAGGAGCCACTTACCAGGCGAAAACACTCTTGTTGACGGAACAAACACTCTCCTTTTCTATGATCTGCGCTTCTGTAACTCTGATGAATTACCAAAACATGTGATAACATGGAAGAAATACGTGTATACTTCTAAATTAAAGAGGGCTGCATGACCTGTGAAGAGCTCAGGTCACATCGGTTTTGAACATTCCGTTTGTAGCTCCAGGAATCAGCTGGAAATTGTCTCTAGGCTCTTATTTCCTGTGTATGTACTATAGGACGCTGTAACTAGACCACTGTGCCTGAAACTTGGTGCAGAATCCCTGCATGCCACCCAGCCGGACACTGGAGCATTTTGATGCAGAGCAACGACTTTCCTTTGGAAGCACTGGGTGGGGGAGGGGGCTGCTGTGGTAAAGTGGGCGCAGCAGAGCTAGAATGGGGTAGAAATGGGGAGACTAACAGACTAAGCGGCAGAAGAGTTGCTGCTAGAAAACTGCTCAGCTGCCATGGGGACAGCTGGCAACCCTCAGTCATGTCCTTTTGTTAAATGCCCATAATGTAACAAGTAGTAACCCATGCGTCGATGGTGCGGTTTAGCTAGCTGAGCACCCATCTTAATAGATATACAGCAGTAGGGATAAGCTGTAACAGAGCCTGGCAGACAGTAGGTATTTAGGGAGCCATTTTTCAGTATTTCTATGAAATTCCTTAGAATATGCCATTCATAGGGTGGGCCTGACAATCTTTCAAGTCACTCAGGCATTCATTCATTTATTCAGTCATTCAGGGTGTTAAGTGTCTACTGTATATTCATATTCTTCTAGGTGCTAAATGCAAAAGTTAAAGGGCAAGGATATACTTGAAATGACAAGTGCATACTGTGAAGCAACATGCCTAAGTGAGGGATAAGTGACAGAGTGATGTGGCATTTGTTGTCATAGCATTTGGCTTACAGCAGCTGCTACACAGTGTCTGGTCCACAGTCTCCATTCAGTCAACACTAGTCCTCTTGTGAGCCTCTGTCCTTCCCTATTCTGACCCTGAAAGGGCCAGACTTTTCATAGGTTTGATTAACTGGGTCAAAGATCAGTCTGTTAATTTTTACAATTTGACCTCTGACATAAACTGTTAACTTTTTTTCAAAATATACATAATTCTATTGTTTATCTTTATTATAAATGTTGTACATGGTTATAAAATATTTGATAATCAGAAATATGATAAATTAAAATCCCCTTTCATTCCATTACTCAGAGATAACTACTGCTAACACATTGGCCTTTATCATTCTAGATTTTTTTAAATTTATAAATGATTATTTAAAAATAAAAATGGGATTGCTCTATGTATTTTTGTGTAAATATAGGTATACATCATTAGTTTTTTTACTGCATGGTATTCTATTGTTCCTATGTGGCATTTATCATAAATTAGTTAACAACTTGCATATTGGTAGATATCTAGATTTTCTTCCAGTTTTCCCCAACACAAACATTTTCTTTGTCTTTGTCCAATTCAGTCAAATTTCTTAAACTAGAAGTGCTGGAAATGTGCATTTTCAATACATCCTGGCAAAACACCTTGTGAAAATTAGAACCAATTTACATCCACCAGCAGTGCACAGAGTGCCTGTTCCTCCATTCCCTCAACTCAGTGGATTCTTAAAGCCTTTTTCATCTTTTCAAGATGATAGATAAGGACATTATTTCATTTCAATTTTCCTTGCTTTGATTACTAGTGAAAACTTTTTCATATATTTGTCATTTGTAATACCTCTTTCCTGACATTTCTATTCTATTCTCTACTACTTTATCATTTCTGTGCATGTGAATGTGTGTGTGTGAGAGAGAGAGAGAGAGAAGGGGAAGGGAACGGAAGGGATGGGGCATAAAAAGTCTAGAAAAATATATAGCAATATATAATATTGGATATCTCTGGATGGTAGACTTATTGGTAACTTTTCTTTCTCAGTTGCTTATTATATTATTATTATTATTTTTACAATGAACACATATTACCTATGTAATAAAATCCTGGTCAAACATATGCAGTTCTGGAACGTGTTTCTGCAGACATATGGCACGCTCTACACTGATCATTCTGGCTCAGAAGCTATTTTCTAAGCAGCAAAAATATCAAAACTCTTAAAAAATGCATCAAAACGGCCTCTAGAAAATGCATTAAAATGGCCTTATGCAGCCCAACAGATACAAAGTTTTAAAAAACACATAAAATATCATTTAAAACAGTCTAGCAGTTTCTTAAAAAGGTAAACATAAATTTATTATGTGACCTAGCAATTCCACTCATAGGTGTCTACCCAAGAGAAATGAAAACATGTGTTCATGAATGTGGATGAAAGTGTTCACAGCAGCATTGTTCATAACAGCCAGAGTGGAAATAATCCAACTGTCCATCAACTGATGAATGGATAGACAAAAGGAGGTACATTCATACACTGAGACACAATTCAGCAACAAAAAGGAACAAACTATGGCTATGTTACAACATAAATGAATCTCAAAAAGATCATGCTCAAGTGAATGAAGGCAGAAGTAAAAAACCACATATTATAATCAGAAATGTCCAGAAAGGGCAAATCTATAGAGACAGAAAATAGATTAATGGTTGCCTCGGGCTGGGGTAAGAAGCCCTAGTGGCGAAATGGTTAAGTGCTTGGCTGCTAACCGAAAGGTTGGTAGTTCGAACCCACCAGCATCTCCACAGGAGAAAAGACCTGGTGATCTGCTCCTGTAATGATTACAGCCTAGGTCTCTCTATGGGGCAGCCCTACTCTCTCCTATAGGGTTGCTGTAAGTCGGAATCAACCTGATGGCACATGACAACAACAGGGTTGGGATGGGGATGAAAGTGGGTAATGGTTCTATACTGAAATCTCTTTGAGGTGATGGAAATGTTCTAAAACTGGATTGTGAGTGATGGTTGTACAACTCCCTCAATATACTATAAAGCGTGCATTCTTAACATGGGTGAATTCTGTGGTATATAAATTATACCTCAATAAAGATAATTTTTATAAAAGAACCTTAAAAATATTATTAAAATAAACTTATGAGTGAAATCTTTTTCTAAAAGTTGTTACATTCACAATGTGATTGCTGAAATTTACCTTTCCAGTTTTATCTTTACCATTTATCTTTTCACTTCTCTCACGTTGACATCTGGTGCATTTCAGAAGCTATTTCTATTTCCTTATTTTGTGGATTTGAAAACTGGATTAAGTATAAATTTCAAATTTTAACACCTTACTCCTGTCTATAGTTAGTAATGCGTAGTTTGTCCTAAACTAGGCAGAGAGCCACAATTCAGGGGGTGAACACTGAGAAATGTTATGAAAGAAACCCTAGACTAAGTAACGGTTCCTAGAAAAAGTCCATGAAGGAAGCACCAAGACAAAACTAAATTTTTGTGGAAGAGCAGATCCTCTCTGGAGAAGATAGTCTCTGGTTTAGGGCAGACAACTGAGGACAGATGTAAAGACTACATATTCAGTCTTCATTGAGCCAGTTTATGCAGGTGGTTTGACTACACAAATTTACTTGCTGATGAGTTCCAATGTGTCAGTTTTCACTGCAGTTTACCCAGAAGGCTAGCTCCCCTCTTCCCCCACTCCCCCCCACCCCCGGTGATATCTGACTTTTCCCACAATGCTTTTGTGTAGGAGAAAGTCTGAAGCATTTTTCAGATGTTATAGATATTCATACATTTATCAGTTGCTGGTACATTGCAGAATTGAATGGTAAGTTGTTATTTATGAGTAATGGTGTGGTATAGTCTGCTAACTGTCCCCCAGTATCCATTCTTCCCTATTTCCTTTTAGAACTAGAACCTTGAGGTTTACAGAGAACATGGCTGCTCATATACATCCTCGCTTCCCTCACTGTGAGGTGTGTCCATGTGGCTAAGTGTTCACCATGGAGGGAGGAGAAGTGATGCGTGCAACTCTGCATCTCCCCTCCACTTCCTTCCTCTTCTCTCCTCTCTTCTTCATTCCATAGGCTGGAATGGGACATGGGACAGGACCACAGGTGACAGCAACATAAACGGGGCCTGGGATTGAACGATCTCATTGAGCAGAACCATCTGGACCACCCCCCTTCCCCTGGACTGACAGAGAGAAACCTTTTGTTGTTGTTTTGTTTTGTCAACTTAGCCTATAAAAAAAAAAAAAAAAAAGCTAAACCCATTGCCATCGAGGAGTCGATTCCAACTCATGGCAACCCCATGTGTTACAGAGTAGAACTGAGCTCCGTGGAGTTTCCTTGGCTGCAATCTTTACAGAAGCAGATTGTCAGGACTTGGTTCCATGGCCCTATTGGATGGCTTTGAACCGTCAACCTGTTGATTAGTAGTTGAGAACAAACCCTACTTAAAATCTGGGTTAGGCATCAGAAGACCTGTGTCTTGATTCCACTTCTGCTTCTGTGAGGTTTTGGTAAATTACTTAATTTTTTGAGCCTCAGTTTCTGCATTTTAGGCAATGTTATGAAATGTATAATACATAATACATGAGATAACAAAAGAAATTGATTCTATTGGAATATAGTTCTAATCACAGACCCCTTGGGGGTCTGTGGATCCTGGTTAAGGGCCCCTCAATGATCTCTAAGGTTCCATTTTGATCAAAATGCTCATGAGTTTATTGACTCTATCTAGCGCATGAGAGATAAAAGTTAGTAAGACTACCCTTGTAGCTGCAAGTTAATAGTCTTCCACATGTGCTAGAGTCCCATGTAGAAATAACATTCCCACTTATACATATCCAGTTTATTTAAGGCACCACTGAAAAAAGACTCCTACAATCAACAATTATAGTTCCTCGTAAAAATTAAGTTGCACCACCTTGTTTCCTAATTCATCAAAGCTTAAGCTATAAAGAAGAGACCTGGAGTAAAATGATACTTTGCTCCCCAAAATAGATATTAAAGAGAAGGTCCCAAAATAACACATCATCTTCCATTGCAGCTTGCATGTGAGATGGCTTTTTATTTTTAGGACGCGCATCTTTACTCGGACACCTACAGAGAACTGTGCTGGTGGTTTGCTGAAGGTGAGGAGACTCCTGGTATTTACTGACAGTAACACGGTCTGGGAATCAGTCACTTCTGTTCTGGTACCTTCAGGGTGCACCTTTTACACTAGGTCTGATTTTACTGGAAATTAATATCCTATGCCATATAATTTGGAAGAATTTTCAAATGCCTCTTTCATCATCACACAAAAACATGTTTGAGTAGACGGATTTGGACACAGCATTTTAAATGTTCTTGGACGTTCTGGTTTTTTGGTAGGTCTTACCTCGAACAAAGACATAAGCGCTGTATTGTTCATAATATTCTCCCATTCTCACACGAATTGTATAGAGGCCTTCATCTTCTTTGTTGAGATGAGAAAATGTCAGTGTTGCCCGTTCTCCACTCCAATGTGTTTGCACCCATTTTGATGGAAAAACAGGTGCCCCTAGAAATTGAAAAAAAAAAAAGTAAGCAAATTAAACTTTTCTTCCCTTCCTCTCTTCTTTATCCCTCCCCTGCATTCCTCGCTCTCTTTCTCATCTTCTCTATTGAAAGCTAGTTGACTATTATAGAAAGGCTCTGGGGTTTTGGGCCATTCTGCCATATCATACCGGTAAAAGTGCTAGACCAGAAGTGAGGGGACCAAGAACTGATATATAATTTGCAGGACCCAGTGCAAAATGAAATTGTAAGCCCCCTTGCTCAAAAAACAGAGACAATGTGCAGTTAAAGGTACTAAAATATAAAGTTTTTCCTTTAAATTATTTTATTACTTATAAAACATAATAGGGGTAATATAAATTGCAAAAAAATAATTTTGGTATTATAATTTTATGTACAATAAATAATACTTTATGAATATGATATCTTGATTGATGTAATATTTCTGGTTCATTTTTCTGCAAATTCATTTATCAGGTCATCAATATTTATACTTTTAGCGATTTTATTTTAAATTGATATAATTGAAAGCAGCATCAGTCATTCTTTGCAAATGCAAGATCATAAATAATTTTTGATAATGTTTTATTTTGAGAAGGATCTTTCTGCTGATGCAACTGTTACTAGAGCTGTTAAGAGTATTATATAGGCTGTGACAATACTGGAGTAACCTTCAGATAAACTATTTGAAAATATAAATTTTAGTACTCTAGAGCTGATGATTCTTGAGGAACAATTTTTCTAAAAAGATTTAACTCTTCATACAAATTAGTTTCATGTAAGTCTGAATTTAATTTTCAATACATAATACAACTGCATTTTAATGTTTCCTCTAACATGTCCTGTGACTTGTGGAGGTAGTACAAGAAACTTCAAGTGGCTTCATGATTTATATATCATTCAAAATGCCTACTTATGCTTTCTATCACTGTATCTTCAGTTACAAGGAAAAATTAATCTAAAAATTGTCTTCCTTGTTAATAACTCGTTCATCCAAAGCTTCATATGAAAATAGTGTTTTTTTCCATCAAAAGCGGCAATCTCTAATTTCTATTTCTAAGCTTGTCAGTGTTTGTTCTGCAATGTTGCAGCAGTTTTCAAAACCAGAGCTTCTAAATTCTTTGAAGGATTCTAGTAACTTCCTTATGTGCTTTATTGGAATGTTTATATGTAGGCTTTTATTTTGTAATATTGTACTGACAGTTAACTGCCTGATCGCCAAGAGTTGTCTCAGTGCTCAGGCCAGGAACTTAGTACTTGTGCAGATGCAGCAGAGATGAGTTCTGGGGACGGACAGGCAAGCTGGCCTCCCACTGTGGGTTTCCACGCAGTCCCCATGGGGAGTCTTTCCTCTCCTCTGGGGCCACAGCCAGTGCCATTGCCACCACTGCTGCTGCTGCTGCCATTGCCAGTTCCAGTCTGGACCCAGGTCCTGAACCAGCTATCTCCTCGGAACCCTGTGGTACCCCAGAGTGCTCCAGGTGGACACACACACACACACACACGAAGGCCAGGCCGACTGCCTGGTGAGCAACTGAACATTGCCTACCATGTCTGAGAGTGTCCACGCTGCCACCTAATATATCTTCTTGGCATAGTGGTTAAGAGTTACAGCTGCTAACCAAAAGGTCGGCAGTTTGAATCCACCATGTGCTCCTTGGAAACTCTGTGGGGCAGCTCTGTTCTGCCCTGGAGTTGGAATCAACTCAATGGCAATGAGTTTTTTTTTTTTTTTTTGATTTTTTCATGCCTATGCTCCATTGTCCTATCAGATGTCACTTACAAAAAAACAAGTTCTTGAAATTATTAAGAATATCAAGAGGTGACAGCACAGCATTAAAGAATCCCAGGTCCCCTTCTGGGAATGGTCCTGTGGCGGGCACAGTTTGCATGCCTGTAAAGTCACTCCTATGTTCAGTCCCATCTCTTTCATTAACTAATGATGCAACTTTAGGCAAGTCACTTAACCTCTCTGAGCTTTAGTTTTTTCCCATGAACTAAATGGAGTTTGAGCTGCTGTAACATGCTTTACAGGAAATACCACAAAACATTATCAGTATTTTTTTCTATTCTTCTATATTTTTCTGAAGTTTCACTTACAAAAAAAAATTAAACATAAAATTACATGATAACCTTACTAATACACACAATAGCTAAAGACATCTGGAATTTGAAAGTTTTCTGAGAGCTTTAAAATGTAGTCCTGGTCGAGACTTTACGATAAACTGAAAGGAACAATTAGAGTCTCCAGGTCTATTCGCTTCTGTCTCTATTGCATATCTTCTACCTGCTAGGCACTTTCATGGGACTTGCAGATAAATATGTGCCTAGAGGGCTCCCCTCTTAAATATCAATGTGCTTTTTACTACCTAGGCCTAATGGGATGCAGAAAGGCTGGAGAAAGTGCAGGTTTTTCAATGAGGTTAGGTTTTTTTTCTTTATTAGACCTAAAGTTTCGGAGACATAAAAGGAAGCACAGAGTACTAGCGAAAAGCACACCGAAAGTGGAGGGAGAACCCCAGGGCCTGAGGTCTGGCTGTGCTGGAGTTTTGCTGGGTGATTCTGGGCAGTTCCTTATTCTCTCTGGACGTATTTAATGTCTTTGTCTATTGGATGAGATAAGCCACCGTGGAAACTCAGTTCTTTTGGGTCTAAGATTTATGATACTATTTTAGAGACTACATTATTTCTTAACATCCAATGATTCAACTGATCGACTTGTTTTGACAGCTTTTTTGTTTGATTTGGTTTCCTTTGGCATTGGAGCATTATCTAGACTTTAAATAGACTGTATTCCAAATATGATGTATAAGAGAAAATTAAACCTTGTTTCTTCCTCACATCAAAGTATCATGGTTCTAGGCCCTGTTGAAACAAAATAAGACTAAACTGTGATTGAAAGGCAGAGTCAGAGGAACTAACAATGGAAAGATTTATTTCAGCCTCAGTTATAATATGACCTAAAAAAGGACAATTTTATCTATTTTTGTATCCTTAAGTAACATCACTGTAGCTACACATATTTTGTATGAAGAATATACTTGACAGAAATTTTAAATTATAAAGATCCTTTAATACATTAGAACAAAAGTGCCAAGGTCTGAATTTCCTCTTAATTTACTCTGCTGGTTAGTTAATAAATAAAGTTATGTTTTGAAAAAAGTTTCATACATTTCCTATTGCATAAATGGTAAGTGCATGAGGAAGGGTATTTTACCAAATAAACCTACAAAATAAATATACATTATTTTGTAATCCTTTCCACATATTACTTGGTGATAAGAAAATATAATCTTCAAAAATATATTATGAACTTTTTGCACTTTAATACATATGTAAAAACCTATTTTAAAAACATAAAGTAGGTTATCCCCTCTAACTCCCAGATTATGCCAACTCTGATACAGATCTGCAATCTACGGACATCCGTGCTCTGGGCCAGGCCTGGGGAACTGACCTGCAGCCTTCTTTGAATAAAGGCTTAAGGGAGAGTTCATTATTATAAAGACTTACCATTTCTGTACCACTGGATCTCTGGCTGGAAGTGTTTAATTTCAGGAGTGATAACTACACGGCAGCCTAGACTCATTGTCTCGCCCTCTCTCCCAAAAGACACATCAAACTTGTCATCAAAGTGGATCTCAAACTTGGATGCATAACCATAAGGGGTAACAGCAACTGGGTACAACAAAAACAAACATCAGTAATTTACCTCTTCTCATCAAAGAGACACAGAGCATTTTCATAAGCATAGCCACAAAGCAGTCACAACAAAGACTGATCAAATTATTTATTGGGCACAAATTAAGCCTTATACAAGAAGTACGTGGCACATATGCATAATTTCGTTTGAATGGAAATTCTTGCTTCAATGGTCAGAAAAGCTAAATGCTTATTTTTATTATTATAATGAATAGAATTTAAAAAGCCAGGTTGAATGTCTTAAATAAAATGCAGATTAATACCACATTTCACTTAGACTTAAATAGTTAGCTGCAATATGCGCACTTTTTAATTTTAGATTCTGAGTCCATTTAAACTCTTCTTGTACTCTTGGGACAAAACAGCCATATCAATTACCCCTAAAAATAAGGGTTTCTCAGTAAGTTACTTCTGTTTCTTTAACGATCAGAGTAAAATTATTATAAGAAATGTTAATGTGAAAAAACCAAAAATTTTAAAATATTGTAACTTTAAAAAAGTTTTCTCTCTGCTATTTCTTATTTATAGACTGAGTACATGTCTGCATCATAAACTCTCTCAGGTTTTTTTTTCCCCCTCTTCTCAAAGGAAAGGGCTGGGAAAGTAATGACTTTATTGAGAGGTTATTAAATGTGTCATGGTTTGAATTATGTCTCCCAAAAAATGTGTGTATCAGTTTGGCTGGGCCATGATTCCTGGTACTGTGTGATTTCCCTATGTGTTATAAAACCTGCCTCTATGATGTTAATGAGGGAGGATGGGTGGCAGTTGTGTTAGTAAGGCAGGACCTGATCTACAAGACTGGATTGTGTCCTGAGGCAATCTCTTGAGATATAAAAGACAGAGGTGAGCAGTGAGACAGGGGGACCTCATACCATCAAGAAAGCAGTGCCAGGAGCAGAGCGCGTCCTTTGGGCAGGAGTCCCTGCGCCGAGAAGCTCCTAGTCCGGGGGAATACTGATGAGAAGGCCGACAGAGAGAAAAAGCCTTCCCCTGGAGCTGACGCCCTGAATTTGGACTTTTAGCCTACTTTGACTGTGAGGAAATAAACTTCTCTTTGTTAAAGCCATCCACTTGTGGTAGTTCTGTTATAGCAGCACTAGATGACTAAGACAAAATGCCACATAGTTTACATTAGATTGTCATCTAATCTTTGCAACAATGCCATGGCGTAGATACTCTTTTTTCCTCTCTTTCAGATGCAGATGTGGAAGTTCACCAAATATACTGCCAATGCCAAGGTTTCACAGGTAGCATGTGTGAAACTGAAATTCACACCTACATCTGCCCAACTCTGAAACTTCGGCGTTTCTCATATTTTGTCTCTCTTCCTAAGACCTCTGAGTATTAACTTGAAAATGCAAGTTAACATTTATTGAGTTCAATTTATGCCAAGTACTGCTCCAAGTGTTTAATATCTATTAGTTCAATGAAGCCACATAATCACCCTATCAGTACTATTATTGTCTCTCTTTTATAGATGACGAAGCTGCAGCATAGACAGGCTAAATAACCGCAGAGCTCAGGATTTGCCCCACAGAGCCAGGATTTACACTGCAGGCTATTTCCAGAGCCTGTCCTCATAAGCAACACATTGTTCTGCCTTTGATTTTTATCTTCCTTGGCATACCATCCCAGCCATAATCGACACTGAAATCACTTCTATATAATGGCATTCCACTGAGACCAAAAAGAGAAAAAGTTTCATAAAATCTTGCATGGAATAGGAGACTGGACTGGTTCCAAATCTGCCTTAAGGAGTAGGGATGAAGGTGACAGGGAGGGTCTGTAGTGACCTGGAAGTTCCAGGCTCAAAAGGAAATGCAAGTAGACCACCTAGAAGCTGACCCTAATTTCTCTCTATATCTGAGATTGGTCTGGGCTTTCTGAAGTGGCTTTAGGGTTCAGCGGGAACCCAACCCAACTTTAACAACAAGAAGACAAAACATCATTCCCTTATCACTTCTCACTCTTCCACCACATGTACTCTCCATCCTGAGAAAAATGGTTTAGGACAGGGAGTAGAAAACTCTAGCCCGTGGGCCAAATCTGCACTTCCTCCTGTTTTTTTGTACCATTAAGAATGTTGGTTCTTCATTTAAAAACAGCTTTATTATGATATAACTCACATATCGTAAGACTTACCCATCTGAAGTGTACAATTCAATGGATTTTAGTCTAACTGCAAATATGCACAACCATCACCACAGTCAATTTTAGAACATTTTAATTACCTCAAAAGCAAACTCCATATCCCCCAGCTATCACTCACCTATCCTCCCATCCCTTCCAGCCCTAAGCAACTCCTAATCTACTTTCTGTTTCTATAGATTTCCCTATTCTGGAAATTTCAGATATATGGAATCATATAATACGTGGTCTTTTTTGGCTGACTTCTTTCACTTAGCATAATGTTTTCACGGTTCATCCATTTTTTGGCATGTGTCAGTATTTCATTCCTTTTTGTGGCTGACTAATATTCCAGTGTATGGATATCTATCACATTTTGTTCATCAGTTGATGTATAATTGGGTTGTTTCCACATTTTGGCTATTATAAATAATGCTGCTATAAACATTCATTTACAAATGTTTGTATGAACAAATGTTTTCATTTCTCTTGGGTGTATAAGTAGCGGAACCGCTGAGTCATATAGTAACTATGTTTCATTGTTTGAGGAACTGCTAGACTATTTTCAAAAATGGCTACTCCACCAGCAGTCTATGAAGGTTCCAATTTATCCACATCCTTGTCAACACTTGTTATTATCTGACTTTTTCCTTCTAGCCACCCTAGTGGGTGTGAAGTGCTATTTCATTGTGGTTTTGATATGCATTTCTCTAATGATTAATGAAAGAGCCCTGGTGGTGCAATGGTTAAGTGCTCAGCTGCTAATGGAAAGGTCATCGGTTCAAACTCACCAGCCACTCCACAGTACAAAAGACCTGGCAATCTGTTCCCATAAAGATTATAGCATAGGAAACCCTATGGGGCAGTTCTACTTTGTCATATAGGGTCACTATCAGTCAGAATGGACTCAGTGGCGCACAACAACGACTAATGAGTACTCCCTGGGTGACTCAAACAGTTAAGCTCTTGATTACTAGCCAAAAGGTTGGTGGTTTGAACTTACCCAGAAGTGCCTCAGAAGACAGGCCTGGTGGTCTGCTTCCACAAGATTACAGCCTTGAAAACCCTATGGAGCAGTTTTACTCTGCACATGTGGGGTTGCCATGAGTCAGAATAGACTCAATGGCAACTAACGACAACAATGACTAACGATGTGGGGCATCTTTTCATCTGCTTATTGGCCATTTGTATACCTTCCTTGGATAAATGTCTTCTCAGATCCTTTGCCCATTTTTAATTGGGTTATTTGTCCTTATCTTTACATTATAAGAGTTCTTTATATATTCTAGATATAAGTCCGTTTTCAGATACATGATTGACAAATATTTTCTCCCGTTCTGTGTGGTGTCTTTCACTTTCTTGATGGCGTCCTTTGAAACATAAGTGTTTTTCATTTTAATGATGTTCAGTCTGTCTATTTTTCTGTTACTTATGATTTGGTATTATATCCAAGAAACCATTTCCAACAGCCAGAATGGAAATAATGAGAATGCTAACACATTGTGAAAAATATAATCAATGTCACTGAAAAATATGTATAGAACTTGGTAAATGGGAACCTAATTTGCTGTGTAAATTTTCACCAAACACACAAAGAAACCATTGCCTAATACAAGGTCATTAAGATTTATGTCTATTGTTTCTTCTTAAAGTTTTATGTAAAATTTTTACATCTTACACATAGATTTTTGATCCATTTTGAGTTAATTTTTTATATGTGGTGTGAGATAGGGGCCCAATTTCACTTTTTTGCATGTGGATATTCTCCATTTCTTGAAAAGACTACTCTTACCCCATTGAATGGTCTTGACACTCTGTCAAAAATCAATTCACCAAAATGTATGGCTTATTTTTGGACCCCCAGTTCTATTCCATTGATATATGTCTCTACACCAGTACCACACTATTTTGATTACTGTAGCTTAGTAGTAAGTTTTGAAAATGGGAAGTGCAAGTTCTCCAACCTTGTTCTTCTTTTTCAAGATTGTTTTGGCTATTTGGGGTAACTTGCATATCCCTATCTTCATCAGCCATTTTCAAAACTAGCAGTTGTCTTTTAATGCTTGAAAACTAAGATGTTAGGGTTAGATTATCTTTCTCAGTCTGAGCATTGTAAGCTTCTAATTATTTGAATAATGATAAAGATTCTACTTTTACTGCTTCCCAGGAAAAGAAGATCTGATAATAGATGAAATGCTTGAAGTTCACAAATTACCACTGATAAGAATTTTTCAAAAGCTTATAACTTAACTATTATTTAATTCTTGAGTCAGTTTTGGTAGTTTTATTCATTTTAAATTGTATGTCATAAATTAATGTATTCATTTATTAATTCATTATTAAACATCTACTCTGTGTCAGACACAGGACTTTAGAGATAAAAGACCCAGTCTTCCCTTCAAGTGGCTCATGGGCCAGTGGGAGAGACAGACATGTAACAGTTAACAGTGTCCATTGTGGTTGACGCTCTGATTGAAGTGCCCTGGCCTCACAGCCAACACCTAACCTTGGCTGGTGGGGTGTGGAAGTTGGGGTCAGACAGAGATTTCCTGAGAAGGTGAAGCTGACCTGGGTATTGAAAGATGAAGAAAAGTGCTTTGATACAGTTCAGACGTGTGTGTGTATATGTCCTGGTGGCGCAGTGGTTAGGAGCTCGGCTGCTAACCAAAAGATTGGCAGTTCAAATCCACCCGCTGCTTCTTGGAAACCCTTTGGGGCAGTTCTACTCTGTCCCATAGGGTCGTTATGAGTCCTAATCGACTCAACGGCAATGGGTATGTTTGTATAATGATTTTTCTCGGTTTAATACAGAAAGCCTTAAAAGCATTTTTCATTTTTTCCCCCATTGTATCTGGGCTTTTTATAAAACTAGAACAAAGTAATTAAATTCAGAAGGAGAATAGCAACCAGAGAATCTAAAAATTGAAATTAACCCCAGATACCTAGTGTATACATATTAGCATATATTATGTGTTATACATATCTTACGCATTTATTTCAGCATTATATAATAGCTTATTTTGCTGTATTTTAAATACAGATGAAATTTAGCAAACATATTTTTAAACTTACAGCTGAGGGGCAGGGTGGAAACCCTGGCATGGAAACAAGTGTCATCAAACTCTCCTTTATACCCTAAAAAAGAAAACAGAAATACACGTAAACTACTTCATGATTTATTATTTTTTTTGCAATGAGAAGACACTTTTTTGAAAATACACTGAATAAAACAAGTCCAGCAAACCTACTCTTTACGACAACGGATGCATACGCTGAAAGCTCTCCTTTAACATTCATTGCAGAGGCCCGGTACTGAGCTGTGTCTTCAAAGTCACATCTGAAAGAGATCATGGAAATGAATGGCCATCAAAGTGACACTCCTTTTAATTAACAGCTGTAATATCAAGGGATGCTCTGCTAACATGGTACATGCAAACCAGAATCTCACAAATGGTTCTTCAGGACTCTTGACAAAGCTACTGTCTCTGATCTAGCAAATGATGGGATTTGATACGGTCCACATGATCTATTGCATTTTAATGCTGGCAGCACAGAATGGGAAGAGAACACTCATAGACCACTGTGACCCTAGCCCGGGTTCATTAAAAATATGCAAATAAATAAAAAAAGTCAACCAACTGCTAAGCACATAAATTACAGAATGAACATTGTTATTACAAACTTGTCTCAAATTGTATTGGGAGCAGAAAATGTCTAACCATTTATCTTTATAGCAGATGACTACCCAGAGGCATATTGGAAGGGGGGAGACTTCTCCTATCCTGTTCTCAGCAACAGATTTCATCTGGGGGGCATCAGGGCAACAGAGATGGGAAAGAAGCAGTCTCTCCTTGAAGATCTCCACAGTCTCCTTGACTCATGAACTGGATCCAGGCTGGTCTAATACTTTGTTCTAGAGTCAAGTCCAACTAAGTTATTTAGACTTCAATTCTACTAAGGTTCAGGATACACTTGGCATTTCAGTCCACAGCACAACACAAGAAGTGCCATTTGGAAGTGGTTCTAAGTTATAATACAGGAATCAGAATGTCTTTAATAACAGAATTAGGGAGAACATGACCTCACAGAGAGATGAACAGGCTAAGATTTCAAAGAAGGCTCTTTTGACTATTGTCACCACCAGTTCCTGTGTCTTCCATCTTTCCTTAGGGTTTAGTTTCATTAGTATAAACTTATTCCTTGTTGAAATTTTATGGACATCAATAGAACCCCAGTTAGGTAAATACAGTTGCCTTTTTCATAACTATTTAATTATGAAAGCAGCCACAGAGCTAGAGTCTCAGTAGAACAACCAAGCGGCAGATACTGATGTGACTTTAGGTCAGGTCAGTGTTTGGTGTACATCACAAGGTCCCAGAGTTTTGTTTGAAGCCCAACATCACTTGTATCAACTCCTCTGATCCGAAGAGAAGGGCATAAATCTCTTGAGATTATAATTATGCAAATTTTCTTTTGACATCTCAGTATTTCATAGTTTTATCTGAACTGAAAATGGTGGGAGCTTATAAGGCTTTTTCATCCACATAACTAGATCTGGATTTCAAAACCATCTTAGGAGACAGGATAAACCTTTGAGGACTTTGAAATGTTAACATGGATTCTACTTTCAACATTTGTTTTGGATTTTGTTTTACCCTAAAATAACCCAAGTCTGGCCCTGCCACACACACACACAGATAATAGCGCATGTGGTCAGTTTCCCGGTGTTGCTGGTGAGCTGAATGGAAGAAGGGTATCTCCAATGCCAGCTTACTTCCAATGTGCCCGACTCAAATCTCCATGGCTTTAATTTATTAGTCTAATGCATATATCATCATGCAAGAGTATAATGATGATGTTGATTTGGAATTCTGAAAAAATAACTGAATATAAATGCCTATACATACAACTTATTTTCTTAGTAATGTCTAGGGAAAACTCTTACGTATACAAAACAATAAATTAAAAGATACTTATTAATTTTTTGTATCATCTTTGGCTAAATCCAAATATAAAATCACTTGGGAGGTAATGTGGGCCTGGTAAGTATTAGTGATGCACATCATTGCCAGGTGTGCCCAAAAGAAGAAATGTCTGTGAATGCTCCTCACATCACACCAAGATTACACTGGACTAGGATGAAGAGGGGGAGGAAGTCCGGTTAACTGGAGCCACGAGGCACCTCCCTAAGCCATGATCAGGTAATACATATGGACATTGATATTCTCTTACGCATTAATCTGCAGAGTGTGCATTCCATATCGGCTTTCAATAATATACTTTCCAGGATTTGCATGGACATTTATGGGAACCTGGTTTTTATACCTGTAAGACAATGGAAACAAGATGAAATAAGTTGAAGAGTAAATAACTTTATGATTAAACACACATACAAGGAATTCTTGTTCTTGCAGGAAAACCTGTAAACATGGTACTAATGTAAGTGGCAGCATCTGTCCAATAAATATAAATTCTACAGTAAATTAAACAGTGCACGATATATAAATAAAATAAAACATCTAGATGAACATGCTTTCTCCTCCTCCATAGAAATTACATTTAAAACAGCTGACCATTCATAACACGGATGAATCTCGTGTACAAAATGTTGAATGAGAAAAGCCAGACACATCTAAGATACTCCACTGATCTTAACCTGTCTGTAGCAAGGGAGAATGAAGAAAACCAAAGATTAGTCCAAAGGACTAATAGACCACAAGTACCACGGCCTCCACCAGACTGAATCCACTATAACTAGATGGTGCCTGGCTACCACCACCAACTGCTCTGACAGGGATCACAATAGAGGGCCCTGGACAGAGCTGGAGAAAAATGTAGAACAAAATTCTAACTGACAGAGACAGGAGAAACCCAGAGAGTATGGCACCCAGAAAACTTTTTAGTTCAGTAATGATGTCACGCCTGAATTTCACCCTTCAGCCAAAGATTACACAGGCCCATAAAACAAAACAAGACTAAATGGGCGCACCAGTCCAGAGGCAAGGATGAAAAAGCAGGAGGGGACAGGAAAGCTGGTAATAGGGAACCCAAGGTCCAGAAGGGAGAGTGTTGACATGTCGTGGGGTTGGAAACCAGTGTCATAAAACGATATGTATATTAATTGTTTAATGAGAAGTGAGTTTGCTCTGTAAACCTTCATCCAAAGTACAATTAAAAAAAAAAAGCCAGGCAGGGCCAAGATGGTGGAGCAGTCAGACGCTTCCAGTGGACCCTCTTAACAACAAAGACCCGAAAAAGAAAGTGTTTCTATTATACATGGCTATCTAGGAGACCTGAACATCAAAGGCAGGGTTGAGGAACCAGACTGAGTGGTAGGAGGAGGGAAAGACGGTTTGGAAGCAGTGAGGAGTTCCCAGACCTAACCCAACGAGAGCCTGAGCACTTAGCCCTGATCAGCTCAGGGGTGAGTAGCAAGACAGGCAAGTAGCTGTGCTCCAGAGGCGCGTTTTCCGCACCGGGAGAGACCCAGCACCAGAGACTCTACACGGCCACCCAGAACCAGTGAGAAGCAGCTATCCATGAAAGATAAGTACTTACATACGGCTTACAGCACTGATCAAAGACAACCCCCCATAGGGAAAAATCTCTCTCCCATTTACCTCCCCACTCCCTGCTCTGCACTGGGTCCCGGACCAGCTTCGGCAATTGCCGAGTCCCCTGGGCCGGGAGTAGGATCTCTCACATGCCCAGAGCCATACTCCCTGCCTCAGAGAGTGAACAAATTAACAAAAGGGGAAAAAATAAACTGCTGGCTCCCCTAAGCCAGGAACCCAGGGTAGGCACAGCTCCTTTGCCTAGGCAAACGCATAAGGGATGCACAGACGCTGAGTGCCTTTCCCCCTGCATAGACTTGTGTGGGCCCATCTCAACAGCATAGGCCCTCATTACCGCAGTACAACAGGGAATATATGGGAACTCTAACTTCAACTGTTTCAGCTGTGAAGTGGCAGATTCTTGACACTTGACACTGCTCTGCTCATTAAGCAGGGTCTTCA